TTCTGTATATACACACAGTTTTAAGTAATTTATGCTTTGAAATGTCAAAAAATGCAGATACTTTTGTTAAATAAGTCAAATAATAAAAAGAATCAGTTGATAAAAAACAAGGCCTGATGAAAACCAAAGGCCTGATGACATTTTCTAAAACCATTTCATTAATAATTTTATCGATAACATTTTTTTAAAGTGTTGTATATATATTTACTTGTTTCAGTTCTATTTAAAAAAAAACACTATTTTAAAAAAAAAAAGAACTCTTCTAGGAAGGGATATTTAAGATTTGCAAGAATTAATGTAAGCACATATTTGGACATATACATGTATACTAATGTGAATTTATATTTTTTTTACCCAAGGTGTTAGAAATTTATCATTTTTTGTGGGACCAGACCTCTTAAATGATTGAAAAGTTCATTTGATGCCGGTAAAATTATTGTTTACAAAGCATAATTCAAGATTGTTGTAATATGTAAGCATTATAGTGGTATTATGCCTATCCAATGTTACTTGATGAACATTCAAATATTATTTTTCATCAAATTCTTTTTCAAAGGCTAGGGTTGGATAACAATTAAGTGGGAAAAGTTTTACAATACTTCATACTTAATAAATTTCTTGACTTTCACTCAATATATTTGTTATTATTCATCCTTAGTCATTTCATTATACAATCTTTTAATGACATATATACAGGTAATGCAACTATTATTGCAAGGGAATAAGCATAATACCTCTAACATGCATTTGTACTTTATTTTGTATATATATTTCATCTTCAAAACAATTAAAGTAATGATTATAATAGCATTGATTTCATATTTGTTTGTCTTAATAATTATGCCCCCATTTCGAAGAAAAGGGGGTATATTGCTTTGCACTTGTCGGTCCGTCGGTCTGTCGGTCCGTCGGTCCGTAGACCAAATGGTTTCCGAGCGATAACTAAAGAACCCTTAGGCCTAGGAACTTCAAACTTGGTATGGTGATTGGTCATGATCAGTAGATGATCCCTATTGATTTTGGGGTCAAGGGGTCAAAGGTCAAGGTCACATTGACCTTGTAAGCAAAAACGGTTTCCGATCAATAACTAAAGAACATTAAGGCCTAGGAACTTCAAACTTGGTATGGTGATTGGTCATGATCAGTAGATGACCCCTATTGATTTTGGGGTCAAGGGGTCAAAGGTCAAGGTCACATTGACCTTGTAAGCAAAAACGGTTTCCGATCAATAACTACAGAACCTTAAGGCCTAGGAACTTCAAACTTGGTATGGTGATTGGTCATGATCAGTAGATGACCCCTATTGATTTTGGGGTCAAGGGGTCAAAGGTCAAGGTCACATTGACCTTGAAAGCAAAAACGGTTTCCGATCAATAACTAAAGAACCTTAAGGCCTAGGAACTTCAAACTTGGTATGGTGATTGGTCATGATCAGTAGATGACCCCTATTGATTTTGGGGTCAAGGGGTCAAAGGTCAAGGTCACATTGACCTTGTAGGTAAAAACGGTTTCCAATCAATAACTAAAGAACCTTAAGGCCTAGGAACTTCAAACTTGGTATGGTGATTGGTTATGACCAATCAGATGACCCCTATTGATTTTGGGGTTAAGGGGTCAAAGGTCAAGGTCACATTGACCTTGTAGGTAAAAACGGTTTCCGATCAATAATGAAAGAACCCTTAGGCCTAGGGACTTCAAACTTGAGATGGTGATTGGTCATGATCAGCAGATGACCCCTATTGATTTTGGGGTCAAGGGGTCAATTGTCAAGGTCACATTGACCTCTTAGGTAAAAACGGTTTCCGATCAATAACTAAAGAACCCTTATGCCTAGGAACTTCAAACTTGGTATGGTGATTGGTCATGACCAGCAGATGACCCCTATTGATTTTGGGGTTAAGGGGTTAAAGGGCAAGGTCACATTGACCTTGTAGGTAAAAATGCTTTCCGATCAATAACTTAAGAACCCTTATGCCTAGGAACTTCAAACTTGGTATGGTGATTGGTCATGACCAGCAGATGACCTATTGATTTTGGGGTCAAGGGGTCAAAGGTCAAGGTCACATTGACCTTTTAAGTAAAAACGGTTTCTGATCAATAACTCAAGAACACTTAGGCCTAGGAACTTCAAACTTGGTATGGTGATTTGTCATGACCAGCAGATTACTCCTATTGATTTTGGGATTAAGGGGTCAAAGGTCAAGGTCACAATGACCTTGTAAGTAAAAACGGTTTCTGATCAATAACTAAAGAACGCTTCAGCCTAGGAACTTCAAACTTGGCATGGTGATTGGTCATGACCAGCAGATGACCCTATTGATTTTGGGGTCAAAGGTCAAGGTCACATTGACCTTTGTATGTTAAAAACGGTTTCCGATCAATAATAAGAGAACCCTTAGTCCTAGGAACTTCAACCTAGGCATGGTGATTGGTCATGACCAGCAGATGACCCCTATTGATTTTGGGGTCAAGGGGTCAAAGGTCAAGGTCACATTGACCTTGTAGGTAAAAACGGTTTCTGATCAATTTACTAAAAACGCCTAGGCCTAGGAACTTCAAACTTTGTATGATGATTGGTCGTGACCAGCAGATGACCCCTATTGAGTTTTGGGTCAAGAGGTCAAAGGTCAAGGTCATGACCAGTAGATACTTTATAACCCTTATTAATTGTTTGATCACTGGGTCAGAAGTCATGCATAATAACCTTATCACATGACTAATTGGCTGCTGATAGGGGGCATACATGTTTTACAAACATATCTTGTTAGCTTTGTTTTGAATATAACAGTGTAGTTTTTATTGTTGGTTTATCTTGTTTAAGATTTGTTTAAACCGATTACCAATCAGTCTATATAATAATTGGAAAGACAGAATATTGCTTGTTTTAGAGTGATATGCTTAATGAATATTCAGCAATAAGTATTTACTGTATAATTACCACTCTGACCTAGGGTAAACAAGATAAGCTGTCATAAAGATGTAAATTTTGTTTAATTTAAGAATTCTATTTATGTTGCTGTTAAAATGCGTATGATACAATTTTATTCCTGTTTTCTGTATATACACACAGTTTTAAGTAATTACTGCTTTGAAATGTCAAAAACTGCAGATACTTTTGTTAAATAAGTCAAATAATAAAAAGAATCAGTTGATAAAAAACAAGGCCTGATGAAAACCAAAGGCCTGATGACATTTTCTAAAACCATTTCATTAATAATTTTATCGATAACATTTTTTTAAAGTGTTGTATATATATTTATTTGTTTCAGTTCTATAAAGTTTAGTTCTCTTGTTTTTTGTTAATAAAGTTATTTATTGAATGATTTGTTATTGTAATTTGAACCTACAAGCCAATCAGGTTTAGAAAACATTGCTGAACGACAGACTTCCAGGGTTGACTGAGGTTGATCCAGCTCGCAATTAGCTTAAAATAGTTTTCATTTACTATCAGTTCCGTCAGATCTGTAAACACAATGAATACCCCAGTACTTTCAGTACTTTGATTTATTAAGCTCTTATTACTATTTTAAATTTACGTGTGTTTTTTTTTTTTTTTTTTTTTTTTTTTTTTGTTAAGTCAAATTGTCAACACTGCTTTACTGGTGGAAAGAAATTACTGGTGGCGGACATCAGGTGTCCCTCCATCAGGTGCGTATTAGTGTAGGCACGAGCAAGCATCCGAGTAGGACCAACAATCGTCCGTACCATAACTGGATATGTCGGGGAGTTACAGGCCAAATGGTTTAAGTCCGCGACATTTATCACTCGGCCTGAATATTTATGAATTATATAGCGGGCGTTTAATATATATTGTTATTTTTTTACAGAATTCTCAAACTATTCAATAAACATCAGGTCTTGGTAATACATGCAACATTAATTTTGTTTTAACTAGTAATGAATATTTTGACTGGTTATAATATTTTGGCTGGTTATATGACAAATTGCAATATAAGACGTTTGTAACGTCGATATCCATTGGATAATCATGACGTTAATATTATCCATATATGGCTCGAGTAAATTTATCAAGCGATTTTCCGTTTCCCTCAAATTAAGGAGTTGTCCTAAATTATAGATTCGTTATAAAGATGTTTAGACATGTTATATGGCCATGTGTGTAATATAACCCTCGTCTGGCGGCTTGGGTTACAAAAGCAACTTTTTTTATACTGGGCTATATTACCTGTTAATAATCTGTATAATATTATCTGAAAAATAAAGGTAATCTCAGTGATCAGTGACGTCAAAACCACCTGCTGATTCTTGCTTATGACAAAAGATAATATCAATTAATTAATTAAACAATTAAGAAATAATTGCACCAAGTGTACATGTAGAGATGTAATACCGGTACAGTTACCAGAAAACGGAAAACACGTAATTAATATAACTTTGTGTACATGAATATATATTGAAAATTAAATTTCCAAGCTGAATATTAAACGCTGATTGATTGAGAGATACCAAACATATGGATGTTTTATCATATAATATTTTAAAAAATCTTGCTGTAAGTTAAAAAATGTTTATTTTCTATTATTTTTCTTTCCTTGTCAATTTAATTGGTGAACTAACTTCTATATACACGCGAAAAGATGGTGGATTTCACGCAGGCGTATAAAAAGTGCACATGAATAACTTATTCCGGACTACTAAGTATTTTGTTTTACTGTTTAATGTCCAAGGGTTAAGTGAACATTACCCTAGTGATCGTAAATGTAAATAAGCCTTTTATATATTTAATAGATCTTTTATCATGTCCATATACTTTATTAGGAAGTGCTTATTAACAAAAAATACCGTTTGTTTTCATGAATTAATTTAATATTGAATATAATTAACTTATCACGGTTACTCATTTTCTTTGAAATTCCGTTTTTCGAGTGTTGCGCATACTTGACTAAAATAACATAGAACTTCCTTTTGAAGTTTTAAATGTACACTGATGGGTGTATTTAAGCCTAAATTTTAACTGTCTTGTTAATTTTATTTTTCAGCTTTTCAAAATGGGTCAAGGGACAGGTTCCGGGGACGGAGGTCCGAAATTCCTGTGGGGAATTCTTTGGTTTCTGTGTATATGGTTCATAGCGTGGCCGGTAGCGTTCTTTTTGGCTTGGCTCTACATTTTCCTACTTCCGTTCAGCGTCTGTATAGATCCATTAAAGGACGTTTGTCAGTTTTTACAAAAGTGTGTACAACTACCTTTAACGTGTGCTGAAAATATGGTCGCCATGAAACCCATGTGTTAGTTATTTTTAGAACAATTCATTGACAATGCACGTGACAGTTATTATATATCAAGTGAATAATTTTTAAAAACATGCATTGTGAACATTATTTTAGCGACGTCATAAAAATTACTGATGATTATCAACCTTTAAACCAATTTGAATTTAAAAAAAAACGCTCAGCGAAGATGCAGCGAGGACGTTGATATTTACAAATCTATGTGTGGTAATTATGTGGTTTACTTAAAAAGAAACAACGAGATTATTTCATTGAACAGAATAATATATTTTAAAAGTTACAACTTTCTTCTGGTGCGTTTTACATCTGTAACCCAAAGAAAACAAGGTGCAATTTTAAAGATTAACGTCACTTCACTTACTTCATAGCTGCAATGTTCAACTACATGTATTTATAATTCTGGTGAATATTATAGAATGTGCAATATTTGTGTTAATACGAGCTGAAGTTCGTGTAGTCGATATGATATTCAAATTAAACATATGTAAATATATGCATTTATCATGTAATTATATATGATACATTACATGAATATATATGTACATTTTTGTTATATTAAACATCATTTTGATACTAGTATTAACAAGTGTATTCTATATTTAATAGACTGTTTATAATAAAGCTTTGAAATTATCCTTGGATTTTAACAATAGATGCATGTTAATTCGGAACACTCCTTCATATTTCGCACATTATAACAAATCGCCCTTTACCAAGTATGTCGGAAAGGGTAGAAAAATTGCGACTGTATATATCTGTTTTGGTGATATTTTGATCTCTTAGAGCCCAAGAAAGACGATATATTTTAAGCTCGGCAGTCAATTCGATCGACGATATATAACAACTTTGTATTCTTGAGCACTACGTTCAAGTTTATTAAGACGTGAGATAACCGATTTAAAAAACTTGAACGTAGTGCAAGTTTATTAAGACGTGAGATAACCGAGGAACGCCGTGACTGTCTTATGTAATCAATGTTTTTGTTATCTTGTGAAACGATGATATTATTTTGTCGTTTGAGCATGTTATCATGTGCAATTTACATCATGTCTTGTCAAATGAACATGCTGACTTGTACACACAGCATGTTAACTTGTCAAACTATTATGATGACATGTGCAGACAACATGCTAACTTGTCAAAGTATCGTGATGACTTGTGCAAACAACATGTTAACTTGTCAAAGTATAATAATGACTTGTGCAAATGACATGGTAACTTGTCAAAATGTAATGATGACTTGTGCAAACGTCATGTGAACTTGTCAAATTATTGTGCTGACATGTGCAAACAGCATGTTAACTTGTCAAAATGTCATGATGACTTGTGCAAACGCCATGTTAACTTGTCAAAGTATAATGATGACTTGTGAATAGGACATGTTAACTTGTCGAACTATCGTAATGACATGTGCAAACAGCATGTTAACTTGTCAAAGTATAATGATGACTTGTGCAAACAGCATGTTAACATGTCAAATAACCATGATGACTTGTGAAGACAACATGTGAACTTGTCAAAGAATCGTGATGACTTGTGCAAATGACATGTTATCTTGTATCATGCTGACATGTCAAAAAGCACTGTTAACTTGTCAAAGTATCATGCTGACTTGTGCAAATACCATGCTAACATGTCAAAATTCAAGGATGACATGTGTAAACAGCATGTTAACTTGTCGAATTATCGTTATGACATGTGCATACAGCATGTTAACTTGTCCAAGTATCATGATGACTTGTGCAAACGACATGTTAACTTGTCCAAGTATAATGATGACTTGTTAAATGCCATGCTAACTTGTCAAAATTTCATGAGGACATGTGCAAACAGTATGTTAACTTGTCAGATCATCGTGATAACATGTGCAAACAACATGCTAACTTGTCCTACTATCATGATGACTTGTGAAAGCAACATGTTAACTTGTCCAAATGTCATGATGACATGTGCAAACAGCATGTTAACTTGTCAAAGTATCGTGATGACTTGTGCAAACTACATTCTAACTTGTCAATGTATCATGATGACTTGTGCAAATGCCATGTTAACTTGTCAATGTATCATGATGACTTGTGCAGACAACATGTTAATTTGTCAAAGAATCGTAATGACTTGTGCAAAACACATGTTAACTTGTTAAGGTATTATGAGCATGTCATCACGATAATTCGACAAGTTAACATGCTGTTTGCACATGTCATCATGAAATATTGACAAGTTAACATGTCGTTGCACAAGTCATTATGATATTTTGACAAGTTAACATGTCGTTTGCACAAGTCATCATGATACTTTGACAAGTTAACATGTTGTCTGCACATGTCATAATGATTATTTGACAAGTTAACATGCTGTTTGAACAAGTCAGCATTGTCTTTAGACAAGATATGATGTAAATTGCACATGTTTATATGCTTAAATGACAAAATAATATCATCATTTCAGAAGATAGCAAAAACATTGATAGCATAAGACAGTCACGGCGTTCCATACGATTTCCTATTATTATTGAAGTGTGTGATAAAACTCGGCCAATAAGAATGTCTATACAATAAAGTAAAGTTAACAAATTCAACGACATCACATGGAGCTCATCTTTAGGGATAGCTTGAGGAATGCACAACAATGACATCCGTTTACGTGAGAACGTGACAATTTCTTTTATTACTTGCCTGTCTCTTTCTGTCCAAACACGCAAAAACTCACCACAAAACTCACGTACTTAGATATGTTTAGTCCAGTTTAGCATGATCCGATAAAATCATAACCGCCCCGGTCTATATCTTAAAAAGAATATTGACTCCCCCACCCCCATCTCCACTACACTCCAAGTGTTACAAGTACAAGTTATGTTGTTGTTGTTGTTGTTTTTAGATAATGAATTGATAAAATTATGGTTCAATATTACACATAGAAATTAAAGGAGGCTTTATCCAAGTCGGAAGCGATGAACATGTGGTAAAGGTGTCTGGTCTCTCAATATAGGGATTATGGGTTCGAGCCTTACGAAGGTCAAGACTGTGTTTCTTCTTATTTTACCAGTACAGACTAGCTCAATGATACGGTCTTTATAACGGTTCCAATAAGCTTCAAGCATTCATAAAATAAATATGTTTCAACTAAGTTATTATCTAAACACGCCACCTTTATGTATAATTAACTAATACATGTACTGTAGTTTATCGACTGCATGCATGTGTTTAAGGTGTGATTAGGTAAAAATTTTGTGTCACAGTATTAAACAGAAAATGCTTTACTTGCTATAGAATTATTACCGAGTAGTTAGTATTCTTTAATGAAAATGACCCCGGTCATGATTTGTATATGTATATCGGCACCCCCGGTATAATAGTATGACTCTTATACACGAAGTAAAGTGGCCAGTCCTTGGAATAGTTACCATCTCCTCATTATCCCAGGAAAAAAAGCCCGAGTATATAGCACGCATAGCAATAGCAAAACATCTCACTCAAACTTAAAAATAATTTACGAAACACATATTTCACATGCATTAATTACTGCTCAAATTTATGGGGGAACGTGTTATACGAGTAGTTGTCTATAGTGAAATCTTAATGCTTCCGAAAGTACCATCGGGTACTGAATTTCCAGGACATAAAAACTAATATCAAATAATGATAGATATTAAGAGTACATTTTTGATAAATATAAAGAGCAAATATTTCTCTAATTGATTTTAAAACAATGAAGATTACATAACATGATCACCCGAGTGGACAAAATGACAGTGCTGACTGCTGTAAAATGTTCTGTACTTCATCTTTGTGTTGTCATATTTTGATTCCGTCTTTTACTTGCTGAATATTGAATACCGCTTAAACCGGTGCTGGAGGGGGGGGGCGTGGGGTGGGTAAGAGATGTTTCACTGTTTCATTATACCTAGTCGCGGTCAAACAATCAAAAATAGAATGTATGTCAGCCTCTGTAAAAATTTAAGTATGCTAATATAGACTTGAGCCTAAGATAAGGACTTACGTCAAGGTAATGTCGAGGTCATATAAAATGTCAAAATAAATGTGCTCAGCTTCCAGTGGTAATTAATCTGCAGTCCAATAAAACGGGGGTCAATAATCAATATTCTGCTGGGTTTTTAGGGGATCATTTCGCTTCAGAGGGAGTCTGTAATTTATAGAGAAGGGGTAATGGAAATGTTGTTTTTTCCTATAGAATATTGACCGGGGTCATTATTTTATGGAACTTCGTTCCATCGGCTCTCATAATACATACGTACAAAGAGAGTAAAAAGATAAATATCTAACTAACGTCTTATTTTCATACAAAACATAATTTAATGATAATGGATGCATGATTTATATAAAATAAAAAGTATAAAACCGCTCAAAAATGAGTTATGCTATTCAACAAATAGGGTATGTACATATTTACAAAGGAAAAACCTGGTAAGACAGCTTGCAAAAACCCATGATTGCAATAAGATTATTAAAAAAGCTTTAAATAATTGTTCATTATACCAAGATATAACAAAGCATAATACATAATTTTCAAGTGTTGTTAAACATAGTGCAATAGCCGGTCGTGATATTAAGATTTTACGATGCAAAACTCTGTATATCTTGCAGGCCTTCGTAACATCTCCCACGGCAAAATTTATGTATCAATGTATAAATAATTAGAAGCTATCTTACTATACTAAATAGACAAAAAAAATCAGAAAAATGGGACAGCGTTCCTTATTTCTAATGGAGAGGTGTTTTTCGACACTTTATTTAATTTAAGAAATATATATATATTTTCATCGCATCTCGGTTTAGTTTTTATATATCTATTTCTTAAATTAAATAAACGACAACAGTAAACAAACATATTTTTCTTTAAAATTACAACGGCATTATTAGTCTAAAATAAACTATAGCATGAAAATATCGAAGGGATAAAATAAACGAATGAAATTAATCTTAGAAACAGCCTATTGGTTATTATAGTTAAACGTAACTTATTAATTATAAAGTCAGAAAATGGAAAATTTTACACTGAAGTTTCTGTATAACTCAATATGACCATTCTTACGTGTATTTTGTGATTTAATTGACCCTCCAACGGCAACACATGTATACTGTATAGTAATTTGCTGAATAAGGGTAATAAAAATAGCGATTAAGATCAAAATACCTGTGCCATTTCCGGTGAAGATAACATAATTAAGCTCACCAACATTAATTAACAAAATAATAAAGGATTCTATCTGCACCAATTAATTTTTAAAGTAGGCAAACCGTATCAGCTGATTTTACTACAGCGTTTACTATTTTCATTGATAACAAAACCACGTGTTTCAGTGTGTTTACAATCAATTTTACAACAGCCCGCGCAGCTGACGTCACAGCAAACTAGCAATACTATTGGCTACAGGCGACCTTGCTTGATAAATATTCATTATATTGTTCACGCACAAGGCCAATTTTGATTGGTTAATCGGACTTTCAGCGATCAGCCCGCGCGGAGAGCCGATTTTTGCTGGTGTTTGCCTACATTGAATACGGTGTTGAAGTGACCCAAGCAGGATTTCAGGGCATTTATTCATAATTTCTTGCTGTTCAAGATGGAGATGGGAAAGAGGATCGAGTTGGAGAGACGAGGAAGGAAAGAGGACGAGGTACGTTTTATTCATAATGAATTTCTTGAGTTCTTTGACTTTGAAAATAATATTTGAAAGGGTGAAATCTTGTGGCATGTGTCCATTTTTTTCTCAAGTTCACTTCAGACTGGTGGCTTTTGACATGTTTAAAATGAAGATAAAGATTTATTGTGACAGCAAATGGAACAAGTTTTGTTTAGAAATGAGTTCGATGGACTGCAAACATTTTTAGTATTCATAAAAATGTATTTCAGGCATGATTTTCCATGGGTGAATTTCTTGGTCCTGTAAATTTCTATGACGTCGAGTTGCAGTTACCAAACAGTTTGCTGTCATCAAAGAAACAGAAAATTAAATGAATGTTAGATGCCATACAATACACCACAGTGAAGTGAACTTTGAAAGATTTTTAAACGGCTAATGTGTGATGTGCAGGACTTGTATTTCTTCTTGATGTTTGAATGTGTTGATTCATTTATTAGATTTATTTCTTTTATTTTAGTCTCCCGACTATATTATGTAGATCAAACTCTCTTGTCTTGCGGAATTGTATTCTTCCCCGCACTCAGATTTCTATACCAAGCTGAGGAAACACAATTAAAGTGGTTAAGTCCAGTCTCATATTCTGGATCTTCATGTACAGGGTCGCCATTTTGTGATGTTGATAGTTCTTTGTTCACAACGGTCTTCCAGTGTAACAACAGTCATATATAGCGCAAAATATATCCATAAGTTAATAATAACAAATTATTTTCACGAGTTGTACAAAATAACAAAGCAAAAGCCCGAGATAACTTAAAGTTAACCGATCGCCATCCCTTGTGCATCTTCAAAATAACAACTTGGCAGCCATGTTGAATTTCAAGAAGAAATTACGATTTACGTACGTTTATGGTTACAAATAATGATATCTAACACTCGGATATGTTAAAATAACTTTAACAGTACACATTTCGACAGTTGAGTCGAATTGTTACTCGCGGGATTAATGAATCTACGAAAAAAGTTGCAGCACGCTTTTGCGTCATTTGACCTACTTTTATCATGTTTGCCAAAATCGGTCACACATTTTGTAATTTAGAAGTGTTTCGGACCATTTCTGAAGTTTTATCTGCCTCCTGTTAACGTTTCGTGCCGAAGCATCTGTATTGCTATCGTTTTTAACCGTCGCTTCATTTGTTTTGTTTGATGCTATTGCAAAATCAAATATTTTAGTCAAATTTGTAAATTGTTTCTGCCAAAGTCCGCCATCTTGACTCTCGAGGCGGAAATCACCGGAGTGAAACGCTTAAAAGTATCCGTAAATTTCTGTAAATTATTCATCGCAAACAGTTATTTTATCCACTGCAGATGAAAATTAGTACTTTTCGTCACCTTTTACCATTCCTACTTTTCACCGATAAGCAGTCAATTAAGCGAATTAAGTGAAAAAGTTACACAAAAAATGGCGTACGGTTTGTTATGGCGGTCCGATTGTTACTTCACTGACGAGATCACTGGTAAATTTTATTTCTCCATCAGAGGCGGAGTGATACAATGAAATATAGATTTTGTGAGGATTGCAACAACAATTTATTAAACAGAAAACGGTCATATATTTGAGATGTGTCGTTATTATTATATCATTTGCTAAATGCTTGCTTGTTTTTGGAGGAAGTTTTGGACGATGCTTGACTGGAACTATTTTTTTCGGCTCATAACGTATTTTTCAAGTGGGTTATATGGTTTTATGCAAATTAGATAATGACGTCATAATGTTTACAATGAAGTGAAAGTAGCCAATATAATCATAGCGCGCAGTCACAGTTTGCATCATGAACCTTCTTCTTCTTCTTCTTCCAATACTGTACATAACCCACTCTGGGGCATTGACGTACAGGGTGTATGTACAAAGTGTTGTGCGGCGAATAAGTGCAGATTTAAAAGAAGAACATGTTAAAAATAAAATTGACTCCAGCATATTAGGGCCCCATGACTAGTCCTCCCTTGAAGGCCTCAAGGTTGACTGCTGTGGCTAGGTGCTCTGGAAGCTGGTTCCACAGGCGGATGGCCGAAGGTACAAAGGAGAACTTCATGGTGTCTGTTCTGCAGAATGGGACATGGAATCTGTGTCCGTAGCCATGACCACCAAGTGTCAGGGGGTGGAAGTACTGTGCAGCTGGGATGGCTATGAGGTTGTGCATGATCCTGTAGACCATCACTAGCTTGGCATTGGAGCGGCGGTGCTGTAGAGTTGGCCAGCCTAGGTCTGTCATCATTGCAGTGGTGCTGCTGGTAGTTTTGTAATCGCCTTTTACAAATCGGGCAGCTCGCCTTTGGACAGCTTCGAGCTGGTTGATGTTGGTGGCTGTGTGTGGGTCCCAGACTGTGCCTGCATACTCCAGGATTGGTCTAACAAGGGTCTTGTAGGCCTGGGCCTTGATGTCTTGTGGGCAGCTTATGATGTTTCTTCTAAGGAATGATAGAGAGTTATTGGCCTTCTTGATGGTAGATTCTGTGTGTATGTTCCATGAAAGATTATTTGCGATGTTGACACCAAGGTACTTTCCACTTTTGACAGATTGAAGAGTTGATTGGTGTACCTTGTAAGCATAAATGATGGGGCTTCTTTTCTAATAACATTACTAATGTAACAGAATGTAAACAAGCTGGTATTTACTTCACATTACCAATGGCCTGTAACAGTACATTAAAAATAATTTAAAAAAAAAACATTAAAAATAACTTTATTTGACAGTCCTTGATAAGGCAGTTTGTGTGAATCTGTGATATATTTTTTCACATTTTTGTAAATTTTGAGTATCAACAATTTTTTATCAACAAAGGGAGAAGTTAAAACATACTTTAATTCAGAGCATACTTGTACATACACATGATATACACATACAGTCAGCTATATATGCTGGGTAAAAGAAACCTAATCTTTATTGAACAATTTGTCAGAGAAGAAGTTTGAAACATTTAGAAATATATTTCTTACTATCATTTTTTGCAATTTCAGTAAAAAATATATTAGTTACAATTCATATAAAGTCTCTCCAGATAATTTCATCTACATAGCCATGAACGTCATGTCATATTCATCAGAGGTTTGGTTTGTTGTTTTTTTTAAAACTTTCCCAATACTGTTTTTTTTTAAACTTTCCCAATACTGACTATAAATTGTTGTTTTTTTCCCATATAATTTTAAAGTTTATCATTTCTTTTCTATATAGATCACAGAACTGAACCTGGACAACTGTAGATCACAGACGATAGAGGGATTATGTGATTCATACACAGCTCTAGAATCACTTAGTATCATAAATGTTGGGTTGACTATGCTGAAAGGGTTCCCCAAATTACCCAATCTTAGGAAGGTATGTATTATCAGTCATTGTTTTGCAACATATACTTACAGAATGGATGCTGTAGTAAAATAGTATTATTATGGGAACAAACAAACTTTTAAACCTTAACCTGCTCACTTTCTGTAATGTAGTTGCCCTCCTTTGATGTTCAAAAAGTGGTTTTAAAAGTTAAAGTTTTTCAATACAAAAATTGAGCTACCAACAGTGTAGACTCTAGTCAGATTGCAGGGTGGTAACCTGTCTCTATACTGTTGGTAAAATCTTACATCTTATTGTTCCAGCAGATTTAGCAAGTTTTAAGTTTTACATTATTTGATTGGTTTTTAATTGGATAAACAAACCTGCTTGATGATCTTCAGTTTATATGGTAATGTTAAAAAAAAATGCCCCTAAAGATTAAGTAAAATAAAAAAAATATGCATAAAAATTGATGTCTCATAGGAACTAAAAGAAATTGTTCTCCATTTTGAATATAGAATTAGCAATTATTTTCCTGATATATATTGTGCACATTTTTTTGTGGTTTCACAACAAGAAGAGTTCAAAAGAAATATTCAGATATGTATTTCTTTATACCATAACTAAGAACGTTTCCCATGTAGCATTTTGCACCTTGGGGTTTTCTCCATGATATTTATAGGCCATGTAAATGAATGTGTTACAGATAGGGAATCTCTAGTTATTGATATTAATTGTAAAAATATGGTGTCAAAATTCATTATTTGACTGTGTTTGCTACCTGCTCTATTTACTTGCTTTAAAACTAATTTAGTTTTATTTTACATTGACAGCTTGAGTTAAGCGACAACAGAATATCCTCAGGGCTAAACAATTTGACAGGCTGTGCCAACCTAACACATCTGAGTCTCAGTGGAAATAAAATCAAAGACTTTGAACCTTTGGAGCCACTTGTAAGTATAAATGAGCCGCGTCACGACAAAACCAACATAGTGCGTTTGCGACCAGCATGGATCTAGACCAGCCTGCACATCCGCGCAGTCTGATCAGGATCCATGCTGTTCGCTTTCAAACCCTATTACAAGTAGAGAAACTGATAGCGAACAGCATGGATCCTGATCAGACTGCGCGGAAGCGCAGGCTGGTCTGGATCCATGCTGGTCGCAAACCCATTATGTTGGATTTGTCATGAAGCGGCTCAAATATGTTTCTGTGTATATGTCAAATCAGTTAAAAAATCTTGTCTGAAGTGCCCAACAATGAACATGGCTTAATAGTAAATGTGCTTAACTTTTGAATCATTTGCTCAGAAATGCTTATGATTTCAGATTCTTTCAGGTGAAGAATCTGTTCAGCTAGTTTACTAACAGGTCATTGGTTCTACTCAGTCGCTGCTTGTAATTGAAGAAATGCACCTTAAAGGCAGGGCTTTTTTCATGGGTAGGGGCCTTACTATTATATCTGTGAGCAAATTACCTTTTTTGCAAAAGGGGGAGAAAAACTTTTGAGAATTGAATTTAAAAATTATCCTGAGGAAAATCAACCTTAAAACTGCCCCTGCTGTAAAAAGGAAAAAAAAGCCCTGCCCTAGCCAATATTTTCTTAGTGGACATCTTGTTGTGTATGACTGTTTAATAATATTAATTATTTGATATGATTCAAAATAATTTCAGTTGCTGACTGGTTTATTATTAGCTAATCAATTTAATATTGATTAATACTTTTCTTTTTCTAAGATAAATATTGTTTACTGAAATTGCAAAGAAAATTTATCAATTTTCATTTGTTGGAAATTGACAGTCTCACTCAAATTGTACTTACAGAAAGATTTAGCAAATTTGAAGAGTTTAGATTTGTTCAACTGTGAAGTTACCAATGCAGAAGAATACAGAGAAAAAGTATTTGAATTATTACCCAACCTAAAATATCTGGACGGTTATGACAGAGATGATCAGGAAGCTGAAGATGATGAGGATGAAGGTAAATATACTCTAATCAAATAAAGAGACCTTTCTTACCTACATACAAGTTAAATTGATATTGTGATCAAGTTGAGCTTTATAAGCTGTGTATTTCAAAAGATTGTAATTATAATGGTCATTCACAAAAAAAAAATGAGAAAAATATGGTTAGAATTAAATATAAGAATTGCCTAAATATATAAAATAAAAAAGACTGAGGGATTTTGTGTAAATATTTGCCTTTAGAAGTAATTTAATGACACTCCCTCCTAAGTTTTAATTATGTTTCTTTTTGAAGTTAGGAAATAAGAAGGTTATTTTACACTGGGAATTGGGGTCTTTCCCTTGTGATAGGGAAAAAATGCCCTTGGCAAAGTAGTTAAGGTTGTTGACTTCAAACCACTTGCCGGAACAGCCATGGGTTCGAATTTCACTAGGGACTTTTGGATTTTGTCATGTGAGAAAGCTATCCAGCTTGCGTTCAAAAAGTTGGTGGTTTAACTGGGCTGCCTATTTGTGCCTGAAATAATGCACAGAGGGGCACCTGAGGTCTTCCTCCACCAGTTACTATGGAAAGTCTCCATATGACCATTACAGTGTTGGTGCGACATAAAAACTAAAACGCAACAAAAAAGAAAAAAAAGTATACATTGACATGAGCTTGAAGGTTTAGGCCATCCTTAGAAAAATGTTTGTTTGTAGTAACCCGACCCAGAATTTTTCAAGGTGGGTAGGTAGGTCGATTTTTTTTTTTTATTATTGAACTGTACTCCCAAATAAACATGGAATTTCAAAATGCTGGACAATATATGCTTTGATAATCTGGTAACAATTAATAAATTGATAACTGAATTCTAATTTAATAAGACCTACATTTTATTTCTTCTATTAACCTTTAAAAGGACCAAAACAAAGCACAAGGCATAATTTTCTGATTCCAAAAAAAAATAATTTTTATCCAGACCATGAAAAAAAATTTTGAGTAGGGGCAAATTTTGTGAGTCGGTCGCATTACTGCAAACGAACATTTTTTTAAGGATGGCCTTACTTGATGTTTTTTTTATAAGTGATAAAAATTCGAAAGAAATGTCAATACATTTAATTTGTAAATGATAACTTTAATTAAAGTTAAATGACATTGTGTTAATGGTATAATAAACACATGATGGAGGTATAATTTATAATGGTATAATAATTCTGTTTGACAGATGGTGCCGATGACGAGGAAGATTTTGATGATGAAGAAGGTCTTGAGGATGAAGAAGGTATGTCACAAACTATAAAATTTATTCATTTAGATACTAAGGCTAGGTCAGGTGTCATGAAAATTTGCTCAGAATTTACCAATTTACCTCTACCAGTAGAGCTCGACAGGGAATTGGTTTTTTATGCTCCCCGAAAAATTTCTGGGGAGCAAATAGTCGGCGCCTTGTCTGGAGCATAACTTGAAAACCCTTGGAGATAATTTGTGTTAACTTCATACAGTGGTAGAGGGCATTGAGGGGGACTGCAGTGTCAAAGAACCATAACTCTATTTTGCCCAGTTTTTGAATTATCTCCCCTTATAGAAAAATCTTGTCCGGGACATAACTCTAAAACTATGAGAGATATCAACATGAAACTTTGTAGGTGAATAGATCTCAATGTGTAGATGTGCAGTGCATAAGAACTATAACTCTTTTTGTCCTAATTTTGGAGTTATTGCCCTTTGTTAATTTTAACACTTTGAACTTTGTCCGGGACATAACTCTAAAATTATAAGAGATATTAGGATGAAACATTGTAGGTAGATAGATCTCATTGAGTAGAAGTGCAGTGCAAAAGAACCATAACTCTGTTAAGCCTCATTTTTGAATTATCTCCTCTTAGAAAAATCTTGTCCAGGACATAGCTGTAAAACTATAAGAGATATCAACATGAAACTTTGTAGGTAGATATATCTCAATGGGTAGATGTGCAGTGCACAAGAATCATAACTGCCTTGCCTAATTCTGGAGTAATTGCCCTTTGTTTATTTTTACTTTTTGAAGTTGTCCAGGACATAACTCAGAAACCATAAGAGATATCAACAAGAAACTTTGTAGGTTGATAGATCACATTGACTAGAAGTGCAGTGCAAAGAACAGTAACTCTGCCTTGCCTAATTTTTTGGAATTATTGCACTTTGAACTTTTTCCAGGGACATAACTCTGAAACTACAAGAGGTGTACTTTCCTGTGTCCAAAACCTATTCGGGGAGCATCACCCAGGCTCAAACCTGGCTCTTGTTTTTGATATCAAACCAAATCATAGCTACATGTATATATTGGTGCCACTATAAAAAAGAATTGCATGGAAAGAAATGTCAAAACACAAGCCAATTAAAAACTAAATGTTTGCTATATTTTGTTTAAAAGAAATTAAAGCCATTTTAAATAAGGTGCTTGATTTTGGCATTCATTTGAAATTTGAGATGTATCTGGATTCCATTTGCCATTAAAACCTGGTATGATATCGCTTGTGTGTTGAAAATTACTTACCATTTTGGCTTCCAATTTTACACCAAATTTAATTTATGCCAGTTCTTCAAAGACAAATCTAAATGAGCTGTTTTTGTAACTCATTGGTTCAAATTTTCGTCTTATATTGTAGGTGATGATGATGATGACGATGATGAAGAAGGGGAACCCGATGATGATGATGACGATGATGATGAAGATGGATTGGATGATGACGATGATGATGATGTTGAAGATGAAGAGGAGGATGTTGAAGGATCAAACTTGAAACTTTTACAGTCTAATGATTTAGAGGTAAGTTCATTGATCCATTATTTACAATCTAATGACTTAGAGGCAGGGTGTTCACTAGCCATGAAATCCTGAGGGTCATTTTGACCATATACAAGGCAAATCACAATGATCTTAACAAAATTTGACCCTCCAGTTAAAATCCTGTGGGTCAAATCAGGTCTTTTTGAAATTTGAAGGGTCAAAGTGTCATTTCAAGGGTCTAACGGACACCCTGAGAGGTAAGTTCAAAGCTCAATGATTTACAATCTAATGATTTAGAGGTAAGTTTGTAGCTTAATGATTAAACAATCTAATGAGTTAGACGTAAGTTCGTAGAGATAAAAGTAAAATATGTGACAATGATGAATAAATTAATGTGTTAACACCAAAAGAACAAAAATGAAAAACCAACTGTCAATTAGCTATATTGATATGAAACAAAATCTGCATACGTGTAAACTTAAAAGATAAATGAGCATTTTGATGAATTTCAGGATGAAGAAGATGATGAAGATTTTGATGCTGATGGTGTAGAAAATGAAGATGACGATGATGTTGAAGATGAGGAGGAAGAAGGTAAATGTTTTACAAATAGCCTAGATGTTTTCTCATTTTTACCTCAACTATTGAGCTATTGATGTCACTTTAATATTTATTTTTTTTGCATGCAAGTAGGTATCTTCAAAACTTAGTAACTTACACACTTTCTCCCTGAAAATCTGACATGATGGTCAGAGGTACAATAAATCTGAGTACATTTTACAGAGTAATTGCCCCCTTTTTTCTGTCAAGCTCTGAGAATAGTCAAGTGTGCACTGCTGTCTTGTGAATACTTGGTTAATTGGCACAGTATTTTCCAAATACCCTAATTTGGATGAATTTTATTTATGGTTCTAACCCCGATTTAAAATTCTAATGAGGGCAAGGATATTTCAGAACCCAAGTATTGAATTTAGGTACTTGTGACCTATGTCGACATAGATTATGTAAAATTTCTTTTTATTCCCATCTTTCTCTTTACCAGATTAAAGCAGCATGCTTGCAGATTCATGCTAATTTTTATGAAAATTTGAAAATGTATTTAACAGTATAATATTGTAAAGTTACCAAAAGAATGCAGTTTACAAATTATCAATGGCACTTACAATCTATGTAAATTACTATAAAGAGGTCAAAATATGCAAAAATAGCCAAAACTGCGTTGGTAACGCAGCAGAAATATATTTATAAATACTGAAAAATTTGGTCATTAAACGCACATAACATGTACATTATATGTAGAATTTTGAATTTTTATACCTTTCCTAAAATCTGAGTACATTATTCTCAGGTTTGATTGTATCGAAATATTTTTTCTCATCTGGAGGTGTGCAGCTTTAAGGGAATACTTCTAGTATGAAATTTGGTTGGGCTATTTTAGATGCTGTTTACCTTGGCACCTTTGAAATCATTAATATTTTACTGTACTATTTGAAATTTTTTAGATGATTCAGAAACCCGAGGGACAAAAAGGAAACATGAAGACGAAGAGGAGGAATCATGAAAATGTTAACGTCATTTCATTGGACAATTGTCTTACATTGATGTCCATTACATCATTCTTATCCAATCATGGATCATGTTACATCTCATCAACTTGTCAAATTTGTATTCTATATGAGGAGGTCCATGAAAGCAGCAGTTTCATTGGCTGATATATCTACAAGCCAGGATTTCATTGGATGATAAAGTGCTGAATGTAAATGGCAACAAGTTATTGACTTTGTCATAGGATTCTATTTCATTTCTTTTGTTTTGATTTTTTTTTAATTGTACATTCAATTTTGCAGCTGTAAAACATACTGTGAAATCATTTATGAAATGGGCATTATTAATCCATTAAATCTATTTTGAATAGTGAAAATAGGTCCTCTGTTTGTAAATGGTGTCATAAAAAAATTGTAGAATATAATACACATTTTGATAGCCTTTAATTTCCCGGAGGAAATCTTTATTCATTAAAGTCACTATGATGTTAGGAAAATGAATTTACAGTGTGACTTGGGTTGCAAAACACTATGTAAAAAGAATAATTGTACATGTCATGATGTTTAAGGTAGAAAAAATTCAGGGTGAATCATTTCTTTGAAATTCAGATAATTTGATAGCAATATGGTAGATTTCTGTGTTTTCCTAAAATATAAAACTGATATCAAAGTAAGCAGATTAGCAAAACTGGTCAGTGTTGAATTTTAATCATGCTTCAAACCTAACATCCCTGCAGTCATGAAATGGACTTTTTATCATATATTTAGCGTAGAATGTTCAACTGTGATTATAGGGGTGATAGGTTTGAATTATGACATGAAAACAGTGCCTTAACAGGAAGATGAATAATGGACTGTTCAGTGCAATTTCTGCTGTAAAAAAGGATACAAATTGATTGAGAATGGCAGTAACAAATGTGTACATATGTATATTTTCTTTATAACTTTAAATTGTTTTTTTTTTCTTCTTTTTTTGGCGGATACATTAGTTATTTAAGAAATTGATACGAGATGTATAAACTTGCTTATTAAGACTTAATGAACAAATTTAAATATTGTAATATAATAACATCCATTTGGAATTTAGTGAAGAATGCAGTAACTCTTTTAGAATATATTTGTAAATTTTTGAGTTACATGTTGAGAAATAAACTTGTATTAAGGCTTTTCAAATGGTAGATGTAAATGATCATTATCTGTAACCAAAATGAATTACCAGTCTGTCGGACCAGCCCACCATGCACATTTATGTTGTATGGGTAGACTGTATTTTGTCAGCATTTTTGTTAATAAAATCCTGCACATTCAAACTAGTGCTAGACTGTTCCAACAGCAAAGTTGTTGTACAAATTTCAGGCAAAATTTAAGAGATAAGACAATTGGATAAAAAAACCAACACAAATTAAGTATCAAAACAGGTTTCGCTTTATTCAGCTTCCTCAGTTGATACTTAAAGGCAAAATTTAAACAATACTTAATTAACCAAGATACATTTTATATTGATAATATACAATTGCACTGTAAGAAAGTCAGCTTTAAATGAAAAGACATCAATGTGTAAGCTTCTGTTGGACAATAGATTAGGAGGTTCATGATCATATAAACATAGACACCCTCATATTATGAATGTAGATGCAATTAGACGAGTATTTTTCATGTATATTTCATGTTCAGTGAAACATTTTCAGGATCTCTGTAGACTTATTATAATGAAAATGAGATATTGTGACCATTTTTGTTAATATTTTGTAAAATAACAAAATCTCATGCCTGCTTCATATGTAAATTTCATTCATCCATTTATTGTTTGTAATTGGTGTGTCACTTTTTTTTTAACGATGACGAGGAAAGTTACAGGATTTTTATGTACGAAGGTATCAGTTTGTGTCTATAAAGGTCAAATTTATAAATTATTTATGATTGTTAGATAGGGTCCCAAAAAATTAGGTTATATATAGGATCTAATTTTCAATAAACGAGCCATTAATTTCATTTTCAAACAAATTGTTTTATGAAATTTATTTCTACATTTTATTTTTCTAAAGATTGGGCACTTAAGCATTAGATAAAATAAAACAGATTTTGGAACTGTACAATAAAATTTTTTTATTTTTTTTTTTGACTCTTCCAACAAATCCGTGACTTGCTAATTCAGAAAAGTTTGTATGTATATTGGGAGTACTATGTGAGCACTGATTATGTTAACACTTTTTTTTTCCGAGATCAAAACCATGTGTTGCGATGTAGTTGTTATGAAGATATATCACTTTATGTTTACATGTAATAAACTTAATATTTAGATTTTTACTAAATACTACAACCTTCAAAGAACAGTAAACAAAAAAGAATTATTTTTCAAGGGTCTATGATAACTGAAGATGTGTATTTTTAAATTGTGTATCTTTAAACATTGAACAGAATAAAGAAGAAAAAATTCAATTTGTATGATTGGCATTCAAAAAGTTTTTTTCTGTTAGATTTATAAAGATGATGTTATTTTATATCCAGACATTAAGGTATAGATGTAGATACACTGGTCTCGTTATTACAAGTCAATTTTCAATTTATAGACAATATGAAATGTCCACAAGATTGAAACAAAATTGCAGAATAAAGTAAAGTAAACTTTTCACCGATTGATTTTTCTTTGGATATTTTTATACACACCAGTGCATCACGTAAATTACTGACTCAAAAGTTAACTATGTATTTGTTAAGATATGATTTTCAGGTGTCTAGAAATATATCGCTACAGTCTTGTAGAGAATAAAAAAAACACATAATTATTGCAATATAAATGTTACCTCATGGCTTGTTACCATTGTTTTCATCATTTTCCTAAATTGTTGTTTCTTGCAGCGTTATGTTGTTTCTCATAATAGGATAGTTCAAAACTTGATATTTTTTTCCCCTCCTACATGTTTTACACGTGCTATGTATTGAATGTGCTCTGCCTCAAAAACTGATGCATACAAGTTATGTATTGTAATACTTGAGAAATCTTACTGCCATTTCTATTCATGGTACATGTGTATTGAAAGTAAAGGGGAAAAAAACATTTGTAAAAATAATTTTGTGCTTTATTTTTAAACCTTTCAAGTTAACATGTATAAGAAATTACATATATATTTATATTGTGATTTAGATTTTCCTGATTTCATTTATATTGTTATGCAAATATTTGTCAATTTAAACATCAGAAAAAACCAAGAGATTCCAAATGATACATTCATTGTCATGTACTTATTTATTACATTTTTTCATTCATTTATATGACAAAAGATGTGTTTGAGAAATGTAAAATAGTGTTCCCTGGCACAAGATCCTTCAGCCTTTATGCTTAATTATTGTAACATCTCAATTTATATACCGCATGTGTTAATTATTTTGTTTGCTTTAGTTTGAGGTATTGTTTGTATTTTCCTTATCATTTGTTATCTGGAGAATGGAATGATATCTTAATTTAATAAAGATAACAATTTAATAATACTATATAAACTGGTTAGTTGAGATGTTATAAAAACTATAAAAAGCTTTTGTGTTGAAGAGGGAAACTAAATTTTTTAACAGGCTAAAAATAGCAAAATTTTGGGAAATTTTGGGAAAAAAAAAAGGGTTCATGCTAAATTTTGAAAACTGCTAGATATTATGTTTGTGGGGATTTTTGCTTAAGTGGGGACACATGGGTTAATCTCCCAAAATTTAAAATTGGTATTTAAAAATTTTTTTTTATAATTTCTTGGAGGGTTTTTGGCTTTGTGTTTAAAGAAAAAAATAAAATTGATTGGTTTTGATTTTTGGAGAAGAATTGTACATTACAGACTTGTATGTGAGGTTTTGATTGTGGCAATATTCTGGCTTGTAGAGCTTTGAAAATAGTTCTGCTACAAAACAAAATGGACACTTACAGGTATTGAATTTAGAAATTGCAGCAATGATATAATGTTTCATATTAAAGACGTTTTAGCTGATTAGTTCTCATTGAATTAAAACCATTACTTATTTGTAATATTGACTGTAGTTGTATATTTTTAGATGCAAATAAAAGTTTTTAAATATGTATTTTATGTGTTGAGTTTTCTTTCATTTTAAATTGAAATGTGGCATGACCGAGTGGTTAACAAGTGGGACTAGAAATCTAAGTAGATGACTGCATGGGTTCAAACCCTGTCAGTGGCAACCTGTTATTTTTCTTGAGAGAAACTACAATCACCAAGGTTCAAGAGGGAGTCTATAAGCTTATACCTTCCTACTAATAAATTCTGTATAAACAAGTGCTTTATATGACATGGTAATAGATTATTATTTTATCCAAAAATAGACCAGGAAGGGTTATCACAAATTTTTTAAGGGTTTGCCCGATGAACTGTCCTTTTTTGTTTACCCCTATTTTTTAAAGGGGCATCTTTTTTTAAATTTAACATGTTTTTTAAAATAAACCTTTATTTTTTAAAGGGATTTTTCTTTAAATTTACATTTTTATTTTTAGGGCCCAAATTTCTTAACATTTTTTGTGTTTAACTAAAATTTGTTTTATTGTATAGGTACCTTCTGTTTCCTGTTTTAAACTGTCGAGGGCAGCGTATTTTTTAAATGAAAGGTTTTTAAAAAAAAAAGCTTCCCTTTCCCTTTTTTAATCGGGAGTTCCCCCCCAACCCTTTTTTGTCTGAAAATTTAAACTCGAAAAATTTTTCTAAAACCACCCATTTTATTTTATATTTTGTTTGAAAAATTTTAAATTGGGGGCCGTTTTTCCTTCCCAGGCCCCAGTTTTTCCAAAAATTCTTTTCCCAAAGGGGGAAAAATATAAATTCCTTGCAGACGATTAAAAACTGAAAAATTGAGGGAAGGATGAAAATATAACTAAAAAATTTTTAAGTTTCCAACATAGGATGAAAATTTTGAGCTTTGCTTTTTGCAACTAAAAACTTATCACATTTTTAAATTTTTATTTTTTCCATTTGGGACTCCATTTTTAAATTTATAAAATTGCTTTTAAAAAAATCCATCCAGGATAACAAATATGAAAGACGGGAAAATACCTTTTTAAAAAACATTTTTTTAAAATTTATTTCTTTTGTTTTAAAATTTTAAGAAATTGTTTAACCCTAAAAAAAAGGAAATTATAGTTTACGGGTACCAATGCTGTCCAAAAACGGGGCTCCATGGAACCAAGTTTTGAAATTTTAAATTTTCCTCTAATTTGCATTTTTTAAAAACCCTTTTTCATTTATTTTAGATAAAATTTAAATTTAAAAAGGGGATACTAATAAATATCCAAAATAATTAAAAATAAGAAAGTGACAGTTGGGAAGCTGGTCCAAGTGCAAAGACATACAGTTGTGTTAACATTCATTAGTCAGTTGCATAATGCAGCTAGTACAAGAGAGAGAAAAAAACTTTTTTTAAGACATTTGTATTTCATTATTTAACATGGGATAAAATGTACAGCCCCACTCTTTTCTGATTTAAAATTACATTAATACTTTTTATGCTTTCTTTTTAGAGAAAAAAAAAAAATATTTTTGAGCAAAATGTTTGGGAACTTTGTGTTTGAACTTTCAGAAATTCTTTTGCAGTTATTTTTTTGAAAGGGGTTAAAAAAATAAAAAACTTTTTTTGTAGGGTTTCCCAAAGGGTACTTTTCAAAATTTGTGTAAAGCCTTTTGTAAAATAATAAAAATTTACTTTTTGCCTTAAGTACTGGAGAAAAAATTTACTGGACCTTTATTTGTATTTATTTGCCCAATGCAGATTACAAATTACCCGGTATAGGCACACTGATACAGTTTGCTCTATAAACTTTCCAAAGTGGTTTGGCAATGCTTCTTCTTGACTTGTGAAATACGTACAAAGAACATAAAAACTTCTTTAAATATGTTTTATTACTGTATTATACGTAAATACTGTAAAATCATAAATTTTCTTAAGGGATTATATTTAACCATTTGAAAATACATGTATATCGCAAAAATAATGTTCGCCAGATACAAAATAAATTTAACAGAACTGAAACAAGCAATTTGTGATAATTTCACCTTGCCAATAAGTGATAAAAGATGAGTTTATTAAATTTTGACATAGTGGAAAAATTTATGATTTTACAGTTGAAAGCCACAATTATTATCAAATATTTTTTGGGTCAATATCTGCTCAAGTGTAGCTCATTCTTAGTACAGAATTCATTGCCAACATTTTTAATGAATTTTGCCCACAAAAAAAATTTGATCACCATTTTAAACAACAATCATACTAATTTAAAATCTTATTTTCAGCACTTAATTCATGGAAGCAGTTACATATGAATAAACCATCTTGAACATCTGAATGACTGTTGTGAACATAAAAGGTGGTCCAATCTTTCTACTAATACTGCATGTTTGTTACAACAATTTTCATTGGATGATCAAGGATTGTTTATATACTTTCGAAAACAGATGTACAAGTATGAACAGAAGTAATTCTTATTTTTTGCCATAAATTGTTTTATATTAATTTCGTATTTTTTTTTTACAAGATATATGGCCATTATTTACAATTCAACCCTTTTTAAAGCCGGATGTTTACATGGCTTAAAACGTAATTTCCCTGGTTTAATATAATCTGTTTTTAAAAAATTTTACATAAAAGGGTTTTTTTTAGGCCCTTAAAGTAGATTATTTAAATTTTTTTATTTATTTTTTTATCCGCTTTAAACTTTTCAGATGCTGGCATTTAACTTATTAAACCCCATGAAAAACCAAGCAAACAATGAGGGGACTAAAAATTTAAAAAATTTCTCCCACTGCTCACTATTCATTTTGAATAGTAAATTTAAAAACGGGGCTAATTTTGGTCAGTATTTATTTTGAAGTTTCCCCTAAAAACGGGATTGTTTTTTTCCAGTTTTAAAAAAAAGAAAAGCCCCCAAATTTAAGAAAAAAGTGTGGTAAGTTTTAAATAACTATCCACCCTTTCCAAAAAACATAATTTAAAAAGGAAAATTAAAAAAAGGAACACGGAAAACCAATTTAAATCCTTTTGAAAAACATCAATTTACTGTCAAATTGAGCAGGCAAACGTGACCTTTAATTACAGATTGATCTTTTATAGGTAAACAGTGGCAGAAAACTAGGTGATTTTTCAAAAAGAAAAAATATGGTTTCTAGGCAGATAACTTCAAAAGTCCCAAGTAAAATACTTTATACTTTCATGTTTAAATTACTGGACAGATATAAAAAACAAAGAAAAAAAAAAATTTTAGGAAAAATTTTTAGTTCCCTAATTTTTTTTTTTTGTTATTATACAAAAATTTAAATCATTTTTAACCAAAATTTTAAAATTTCAAAATTTTCAAAAATAGTAATGATTTCCAACAGACAGCAAAAAATCTTTAAACAAAAAAAAAAAAAAACTTTTGAAAATGTGACCCAAAAAATCTCGAAAATCTTAGAAACCCTTAAATTTGGGTTTATTATATTTTCCCAGAAATTTTAAATTCGAAACCCAAAAGGGAGGAAGGGTCCCTTTAAAAGACTGGTTTATGTACTTGCAAGACACCCATTTTGTTGGATGCACCGAAATTCTTAAATTTCATTAACTCCAGCGACAATATTAAAACACCTTTAAAATGTTACAAAAAAATAAAAAATTATCTATTTTAATTTTCATCTTGATTCAAAATTCATAAATGAACAATTTTGAAATTACAAGCTGGACTAAAAAATTCATTTAAGAAATTCAGTAGCAAAACTTAGGTTCAATAATACACTGCAGTAACTCTTAACCTTATAACCTTTACACAGTTCATATAATGCACTTGTCTGGCTCCGAATTTGGAACAGTCTATAGACATCTTACTTTGATGTCAATAGGTTAGAATTTACCAGACTGTTCAAACTTCCAAGACCCTACACCATACTGCTACTATACCTAAATCATTGTTGAAATATAGGTCAAATAAATGGTAAATGATTGATAATTTACTCATAAAGTCTGTTGTTTAGAACAAAAATATAACATTAATTGATATCCAATGCTAGTTGGTTTTTTTTATATAGTTTTTTAACAATAAAACATACAGCAAAAATGGGAACTCATTTCATGTTTCAAAATGAGAGCCACAAATATAAGCAAAAATGATGTTAAAATTTGATGTAAAAGAGAGAAAATAACATGTAAATGATCTTATTTGTTCACAAACTTCACTCATTCAAATTTCAATGTATCCTTAATGGTGTAATGTTCTTACAAGTTGTTTATGAAAATGTGTACATTGTTATGTTGAAATGTAGTATATTAGTAAGCTCTGATGACAAAAAATGTACAATATGATTCGATATATAAAACACCGCCTGAAAAAAATAAATGTAATCAAATGATTCTGCCGAGCCTATTTTGATTTTCGACCAACTTTACACTCATCAAAGTGACTTGGTTGATCGAGAAGCCACTAGAAAAATGAATGTTTTTATGTATGTCTTTATTTTATAATACTGACAAATACTATTGATTAAATACATTTCAATGGTATTGAAGTTTAAATATCGTACCCTTTAATTTATCATTTAAAACAAAAGCTATATGTAAAAGACATCTTTTATTCAAAATGCTCGAATCTGATTGGTTGGTTAGTCATTCTCTCCTATTTTCAAATGGCAACAATGACATGTTTGGATCCTGGCTTATATATTTTTTTAAATATTAATTTTTTTTCAAATGTCATTACTACAAGTATCCCAAAAATATTAACTTACAAAAGAAATATGGAGTTATCCCTTCCACGTACAGACAAACATATATATGTTGAACTGAAGATATAATGTACACAGAAACAAGTGCCACAAATGTAATAAGCAGCATGAAATCTATATATAGAAACATAAATCTATAAATAGATATGAAAAAAAAAATCTATTTATAGGCATGAAATCTATTAATAGACATAACATATATATCAGAATAATTAATAGTTTTATCACATCATATTATATATATTTTTTAAACAACAGTCACACAGTTATACAATAAAAATATTTCATTAGAAAGCAAAGTAGAAAAGAAATTTAAAAATAGACTATTTTAACAATGTTATATTGCATTTTAAGCGAGCCAACATGGTTTTTTTACATCTAAATGGCATATGATGGGCTGTTATTTTTTTTGTTCACTTAATCAACTGACCAAAAGTTTGTTAAGTAAAAAGTCTCATGTAACTTATATTGTATATAGATGAATACGAATAATTAAATTTATACCTTAGCAAAAAGTTTGAACACTTGACTATCAATTTTTTAAATGATCATCTTAATATCCATACATACAAATCTAAAGTTTAAAACCACCCCTGTATAAAGACTATGTGTAGATTCATAAATGCTACCATTTTACTTTGCCACTTCGATGTACATGCAAAATCATTTTTTCATAATTGACAAAAGTACACAAGAAATGTTCTAAATTTAAACCTCTGGACTGAAATTGTTAAAAACTGACAATAATGTTATCAAGATTTTTCTCTTAATGTTCATTCATACTTAAAAGTATATAAGCAATAAATATATCAACATCTTAAGAAATGGAAAGAAACCATAGTAAATAAATGCCGCTAAAAAGTAGAATACAACAGTTTTCTTGAAGCACAATGAAAATGAATACGAGAGAAAAAAAAGTTTCTAAATATAATCCACCATCCAGAGTATCAATCTCCAATCAAAATTCTTTTTGTTTTTTCTTATGTTTCATTCAATGTTCTAAATTAAGGTCGCTCAGCATTCCTCTTTATTTTTTAAATTTTCCCAGCTTTGTCCAGTCCACTGCCAAACGGCGCATAAAAAAATCCATTTGTCCACACACTCACACTCAAACACGTACCAATGTATCCACATTCATGAGCAGGCTAGTTACATTCGTTCAAACGTTGCAACATGACTTTTTATTTGTTACATTATTATCGGTCGGTGCAACAGTAATTGTCTGTACATTGTTACTTGGTGAATTATCATCATCTGGGTTGTCCCGTATCTGTTTTTGTGAAACTATTTTGTATATCTCTGAAATAAGATAGTAAAACATTGTCAATTCAATGTAGAGAAAAAAGTATTGTGAACTAGTATCATAACTAATTTTAAGGTTTTGATTTTGATTCCCTTAACAGAAAAGATTATGGATTAAATACCATTTCAAGCAAATTAAATATTATACTTTACAAAACTACATTTAGTAATACAATGCAATAGACCTTGCCTTTTCTAAATGCTTAACAATCAAAGAAAAGCCATACAGGAATATTCTATGTTAATGAAGGGAAATAATTCATGAGTCTTGGTCAATAACCTACAATTATGACATTAAAGGCATTAATGAAGTCTTCAGTCTTCTTTTTTGTTGTGGAGAAAGAACAAAGTAGGCAGGCCCTGTATATATGATTTGCACCCTGACTCCCTTATGTTACTTCATCAAATATATTTCACACAATATTTGCCTAAAAACTTGCCATGCTGAATAAGTGTAATAATACTAACTTGTGTGGCTTTAATATTTAGAATTGTACATAGACACTTTACAAGGTTTCAATATTAATTTCTTTATAACTGACATGCCCAAAAGTTTATACCCGGGTCAGTTTGCAGAGAGATATATAGGAAAAGCCTGGCTCTTAAATTATTGCATAGACTGGTACTAGAAAGGAGACTTACTCTGCCTAACAATTAAAAGTAGACTGGTAATCCTGGTTATAAAGGATAAAAATTGTGTTACTAAGGTAATGATAAAATGCCAAATACAATTTTCTTACCTGTTAATATATTTTGGAAGGCAGTTTCAACATTTGTGGAATCTAATGCAGAAGTTTCAATAAATGACAGTGTGTTCTTCTCTGAAACAAACAAATTATAAGCTATTACACTTTGCTAAAAAATCAACAATAAACTTAAATTTTATAAATGAAAAGATTTTTGAAACAGTGTATACATGCCATTTAACTCAATTTTATTTTCTAACAAAAAAAAAAAAAAAATGAAATTTTTGCAGAGAAACTGATAGAGATATTGTATATTTGTAAGGCCAAAAAAAAAAAATTGTTTGTTTAGGGTAACCTTCCCAAAATTGCTAGGTAGGGTAGGTAGGGATTTTTTTTTATTTTTTTTATTTTTTTTTTTCAAAATCAGTCGTAAGTTCAGAGTGTTTTCTTGCACATGGCAGTCTTTCCTACACTACTGACATTGCTTGACTTTGTATTATCATATTTTATCATATAAACAATAATTCTGATTAAAATCTGCATAGCTTTAATGCCATTTAATGTTATTTCAATATTGAATAAAGACAATATACCCAAACATGTGTTAATTTTGATGTTTGTTTGCTACAGGCACTACTTTAAAGTTTGACTCTAACCTGAACAGCAAACATTGCAGATTCTCATCAGCTTGCATGGTTGCAATTCTGCTTATCTGAGTCTACATTGGTTGCATGGTAGGAGTTAAGGACAATAAAAGACCTAAAATGACATGCTGTGATCTGGCTTTCAAAGTTTCAGTTAAAAAATCTAGACTTATTCTGTTTTTCACTATTTGATATTCATGCATTAAATACTGCACATTTCATTGAATTAACAATCTTGAAGCTCTTACAGTATTACAAAGTTTATATTTTGACACTGTGGTACAATTTAACAAAATCTATAATTCTGAATTGCACTTTTGATACACTGGTTCACATAAAAAGTGCAAACACTTCTATTTGTAAAATGACACCCTTGTCAATCAAATACTATTTATTTCTATCAGATACATGTATATCAACATATCAAAGACAATAGCCAAGCTTTTTGATGAATTGGCATTTTGTAGATGTCATTCAAAGTGTCGTCTCATAGTGTCCATGGCCCATCTGAAAAAAAAAGCAAAGACTAGGTCTCAATAACACATGGAAAATGGAAAACATTTGTGACGGTATGAAACAAAATGATGCACAGTAGAGTCAGACTCCAAGTCTGGTAAAAATTTGTTTCAGTATGCAAAAAGAGGATGAAAAATATACTGGAAAAGCTCTGCAGATCTCCAGAATAGCTATGTACATATGACCTGTGGCTATACTTTATACTCAAGTGCACTTAGTCTTGATTTTCAGTGGGACCAGGGTCTCATTCATTTTGAAGTGTGGCACAGGACATATCAAAACAGCTTTTCAAATTTTTAAATATTAAAAGAAATAAAAAAAAATAGTGGCATTGATTTGAACTACAATGTGTTAAACCTTGTTATTTATGCAATAAAATATCAATATACTAAAAAAAAAAAAAAAAAAATTTCACTGACAGGTATGCATGATCCGAGTACGAAAATTATGGGTATGTTCGTTCTCGGTGTCAAAATTTTCCACCGGCAGGTAATATCGTCGGATTTTCGCATGGAATCAATGCAATATATATTTTCTATCAAAATTGTCTATGAACAGATCCTTATTTACACGTAAATTTACCACAGTAAAGCCAGAAAGTCAGAAATCACCCAGGTCCGAAAGATTAGATCGTCATGACATGTACATTATAGCCTGGTATTTACGCTTGAAATACTAAACGGGTCGACACATGCTAACAACTGGATTTTACATACTTTTAAATGGTTTTATCCTCCACGAGTGACACTAAGTCCTATGTGCCTGTATTTTAAGAAAAAATCTTCATGTATAAGAAATTTCTAAATCGGAAGTGTTTTCCCGCAACACGTGCTTGGTACCCCGTTCCGCTCTATGTCAATGTATGTAAAACGGAAGCCAGAGAATACTTCCGGTAGGAATTACCTTCTAAAAATATCGTCGTCATGTAGAATTTTTGTTTCCAATAGCGTGATATTCATTGGACCGCAATACAGCACGAACCAATCAAAACACGTATAACTAAAAATGACCGATCCAAATCGTCTGAGAGTTTTACGACAGCGTCTCAAGCGTTCAATTCGCATTTATCCGCCCTTTGAAACTCTCTATTCGCTAACGAATATATATTTTTTTTGTTCAGAAACGGAAAAAAATAGTTAGGGTCGGCGCATTTTTATAGGTAGGGTCGGGTTACCCGAAACAAACATATTTTTTTTTTAGGCCTAAAGAATACAACAGCCTTCCATAAGCCTGTATTGCAGGCCCTCTGTGCAAAACTTTTTCTTTCAGTTTGTCAAATGCTACAATTACAGAATTTTTTTATTTTTTTATCTTATACATACCTGCATATGCCTTTGCCTCATCTGTTGGTACGGCTCTTAAATGTCGTAGATCACTCTTGTTGCCCACCAACATTATCACAATATTATTATCTGCATGGTCACGTAATTCTTTCAACCATCTTTCTACATTTTCATATGTTAAATGTTTAGCAATGTCATAGACTAACAATGCACCAACAGCCCCTCTGTAATACCTGTAAGCCAACAAAGAATATTTATAATATTTTAGATTTTTGTTAAGACCTCTACCTTTCAGGGCTTCCATTAGTGGAAGTTTGGGAGTCATTTACTCCTGGATTTTGGCTGTGACTTCAAAATAATGCTTTTCTTTTTTTACCAGTATAATATGACTTTCAATGTCAGATATTTGCACTCTCTGACTTCCAAATTTTGCAACTTAATGGAAGCCCTGTCCTTTAACTGTTTGAAATTATTGAAAATGTAACAAATTTTAAAACAGAGCAATGAACTGTCAATAGAACATAAGAAAGACAACTCTTGATGGAATTGGAATCAGCTATGACTGAAGTTTTTTTATATGAAATCCAAGTTTTCTTCTTGAGCTTACATGTGATGTAACAGTGTTTTAAACAGTAGAAAATATTTCAGAGCATGTGTAAATATCTAACTTACGCGCTAGTGATAGCCCTGTATCGTTCTTGGCCAGCTGTGTCCCATATCGGGGGCTTTGATTTTTTACCGTCCATTTAAAAACTCCTTGAAAAATCCCAAGATTCAAATCATCATTGATTGGATTTCAGTTGATAGGGGCCAAAAACATTTTAAAGGGTCAATTTTTTTAAATTTTGGGTTTAATCCACTATTTAATCAACAAAAATTTAATAAAATGTAAATTATTTTTTTCACAAAAGCTCTTTAAAATTTTGGAAACAATTTACATTTAAAAATTATAAATGAAACATTTTTTTTTTTAATTTAAATATTACCCCATTTGTTTTTGTCATTTTGGAAAACAAGTCTTTTCTTTTGCAAATTAAAGAGAAAAAATTTCAAATAATGGTTTTTTTTGAAATACCATCTAAATTCAGTTCTAATTCATACACAACATTGACTGCTTGAAAAAATTCACTCAATCAATGTAACAGTAACACACCATTTATCAATGTCAAGTTGATCATCGCCATCAAATATAGCATGAATATTGAACATATTTACCCCTTGTGGCAGTACATTTTAATCTACACAAGATTTTACATTTTATAGTCATTTACAGGTCATATTATAAAACATCCCCTCCCAAGTTTGGATACTTATTTTTTTTAAATTTTTTGCTAACAGTTATACAGCAATTTTCCAGCTTTACTGGTTGATGAAGACATAAGTTGCCCCTCCATGCATTACTTCTGATGAGTAATAAAAAGTAACCAGTGATCTCACTTAATTGGGAAGAGGCCTGAGCCTCTTGATTTTGGGAAAAATTATCGCTACAATTGCTGATTTGGGAAGTAAAAAAGCTGGTTTAAGTTCAGATTTTTGGGAAAACTAATTTTAAAGAAAATTTCAATTGGAAGAGGCCTTTTTTCGGAGTCTGTAATATAAGTAGGAAAATCACTGGTAACTGATAATAAACAAGCTTACCATATTATATTGAAGCAAGATTAAATTTTTTTCTTTTTTACCCTTTAAAACAAATTTAAAAATTTTTTATGAACAATTTTGGGGATCCCAAAAATCTAAAAACTGGGCAGGCACAAAATTTAAAAAAACCCGTAATTAATTATAGAAAAAATGTTGTTAAAAAAAATCCCTTATCTCTCATATTTCCTTAAAGTTTTGCCAACCCCTTTTTAAAACTGTAACTTTTTCAAATCAATAAAACCCCATTACAATTTAAAGAATAGAAAATTTTTGTTCTCAAAGAAATTTAGCGACTTTTTTTGCAAAAACCTAACAAAATTTTTTACTTTTGGCATGTTCAGAAAGCTTTTTATTTAAAAAATAAAAAATTTCTTTCCGTATACAGAAAAACTTCTTTCATTGCCAGGCAACAGAACAAAATTGATACAATTGTCCTGCCTGTAAGTTCAACCACTGTTTCAATAAAAAAATATTTGTACTATTTGCACCTTAACTGAAGGTTACGTTAGTCAGCAAATTTAGCACTGGCCCATGGGCAGTGAAAATTAGTTCAGACCAGTGTAAATTTTAAGAAAATTTAGTTAAATATTTAGTAGAATAAATTCAAAACTGGAATGCTTGCCAGTAAATTCAAAATCTTAAATTGAATGACTGAGGTTATATCAAGCACTTGAGAAATAAAGACAGATCACAAAACGGTCTACAAATTACAATTGGTCCATTTCAGGTAAAATTAAAGTAAAAATCACAATGAGCCAATCATATGCAAAAGTTTACTTGTAACTTCTTTACTTCAATTAGTTTTTACCTTGTGGCAAATTCAACCCCGATTGTACTCTTGCTTTCCAAGTTGAATTCATTTCTAGTAAATCTGGACAAAAGATTGGACTTTCCCACACCACTGTCTCCAATCAGTACAACTGAAACAGAAAAAAACAAAACATTTCATGAAAAAACTATAACAATTAATCTGATGAATTTCTTCTGAATTCCTTAAATTGACCGTTCCAGTTTTCATTTTGGGAACTGTCCAATATATATTTCTGGGAAGTTGATAAAAAAATTACACTTTTGTCAACAGTAAATAGCCTGGTCAGACTGTATGGATGTGCAAGCTGGCCTGGATGTATACTGCTGACAAATATACTGTATACTGTGGACATATATATTATAATGTATCAAAGATCCTGGATAACTTCCTTGTACCATTTACTTACCACTTGACATTTGACAAACCTTTCCTGGTTTAATATGATTATTATTTGATAATTTTCTACAAAAAAGGTACACCAACAGTATTTATCACAGTTAAAATAAACTCACTTATGATACTTATCAGTAAAATCATATTTCATTCACTTTTATTTTTTCCCTCTTTCTTTAAAAAGCTATGGTAATAATTTATAAGTAATATATACAGAAGCTTTCTTATCTAGTTGTAGAATGATACAGTGTATGGAGACAAGGGAAACATTTAGCTAGTTATTCAACAGTGGTGATGGTCCAACTGGCCGGCACAGTTGCTCAGTCAACACAGTTGACCACTCAAAGTATTCCTAAAGCAGTCTACAGGTCTATTTAATGTACCTCATAAAATGTCTTTCTTGTTTGTACTGTTCTGTTACATGTAATATTTTGTTTTTCTTTTCCACCCCAATGTAATAAACAAGTTATGAAATTCAATATCGTACAATGATACAACTTTTTAATTCTTAAAAAATATAAAGTTAAATATGATAGTTTCAATGAAACACCTTATCATATTTTGTGTACACTACATAAAACAAGTTATACAACAACAAGTTATACATGTACAGTGTAACATCATATTATATATACAAGAAGCATATGGCTTACAACCTGATACTTATGATACTACAAAAATCATAAAAGCATTGTGTAACCCTTGAAAATTACCTGTTTCCAAACTAGACTTTTAAGGGTACAACAGTACAAGTACATCTGTATTAGTTTTCGGTTAATCATCTGAGTATTATTTTACCCATATTCGAAATATTTATTTCTTTGGGATAAATGACTAAAACATATAAATTTATAAAACAAATTTAAATGTGTATATTTTTTTGTATATTAGAGTTCATTAAACATTTTTATACAGTCTCATTTTCAGTCATGCAATCTTTCATTTATTATTTCACAGAAAAATATCAGTTTTAGCTTAACAATTACAAAACCTAATCCTTACTGACTGGCAGGGTTTTTGGATACATTGTATGGGAGCAGCAAAATAACAATATTCTATTTAAGGCCTAACAAAGTTACAATATCTTCCTTAATTTGTTTAAAAGAAAAAAAAAGGTATTTTATCTAACTTCACTTCCTCTTCTAAAAACAAAAATTTACAAAAGCTATCATATTACATACAGAAGGTAACAAAATCCAGACTTTGTGATAAATGTATTAAACATGAATCCTATAAATACAGTATTCTTTCTGACACTGGCAACATCTCTTTTAAAAGAATATAAAAGATTTTAAAACAATTAAGACACTAGCTAAGAAAAATCAATCAATCTATATCATTCTAATAATATAAAAGAAACAAAAATTCACAAAAGAAACAAATAAAAGAGCTGGTCTATTATATGCCTGCAGGGCCTTTTTATCTTCTATAACAGGGGCCGGTATAGGGCTGCTTCCCCAAAGAAAATTTCTTTAAAATCATCCAGTTTTCCCCAGAAATTGAATTTACATCAAGTTTTCACTTCCCCTTTTGCAAATATACGTGTAATTTTCCCCAAAAATTAAGGGCTGGACTGCTTCCCCAACCTGTGAAAAAAGCCCTGGCCTGCAGTAGCAGCAACAATTAAACACCTGTGTTGCCAGTATACAACCAGGCCAGCCTAACAATTTGTGCCATTTCACCAGACTCTATAATGCCAACTATCCATTGCCTCCCACTAAGACTTAAAGCCAATATTGATTGATCAGGATTAACATACAGTTGTCTAGATGAAGTAATATGATAATGAAAGCCATTTCTGTTCCAAAATCAAAACCTAGGCAAATTCAGTCTGTTAAATAATGATAAATAATGAAAATAATCACCTTTGAAGATAAACGCATATTCATCCTTACAGTAGTGGCTGATCAAGTTCCTATGGGTACATTTGCATGTTTCATACATAGACATCTTAACAGATTATTTTGTTCAACTAACAAATTATAAAATATAAAAAAAGTTGTAAATCCTTCAGTATTAGAGGTGTGAATCGAGTTCCTGTGATGAAACAGCGGACAGATATAATGAAAATAATTAAATGACCATGAGCTTTATATACAAATATACATGCAAATTTTGTCAACAGAAAGTGATACAAGATCTATAAGTATAAAAATTTATTATGACTCATTCAAAGTAAATCACCAATTGAACTGAAGACATACATGTATGTGCTACATGAATGATTTTGAATATTACCCTTTGGTTACTGTAAGTAATTTTCATTGGTTTGAAGAAGTCAGATGTTTTAAATCTCCTTTCATATCATAAGGACATACTATGACACAATTTAATAATCATTTTTAATATGACTCAATGTTTGTAAACAACCTTTAATAGGCTTTATTCATATCTGCCAACCTGGCACTTCTAACATTGCAATGTGTTAATGTCTAAATATAGAGTAACATATTTTTGGGACAGTTCTGACAGACCTTTTTTTTCAATTATAATTTTATTCTTCAAATCACAACATATATTTAACAAAACTTTAATAGAATGGCTAGGTAGCTTTGCCAAATTTTATTTTGACACTTGATAAATTTGTATTAACTGAAATTTTTCCAATTTGAGAATTTCAACAGTTAGTTGTTGATAGTTTACCTTTGAAAAGTTTTCTTTCAAATTGTAAAGGGATAAGAGGGGGACAAAGCACCTTTGTCCCTTTTACATGACTCATCTGTCAAATACGTACAAAATTTTGACAGATCAAAAACACTAAAAGTGACCCCTCCCAGATTTACCTTTTTCAATATGTCATCAATCAGTCTATACCTATAGATAACTGCAGAATCTTAACGAATGATCAAAGGTAATAGGAAAGCTAAAACATGCATACCTTTAAAAAGATAGTCGTATTCATCATCTTTAGTACCCATTTTCTTTCTCTTCCGGGAAAGTTGTCAACAGTAAAAGATGACGGTTGGGAATATATTTCCCAAATATTCACAAAAAATAAAAGCAGCAACCTATTTATAAATAACAAACGTTGATTGTTGCAATGATTTGAGCAAGTATTCTTGTCCGATGGCGATGATATATGCAGATATTACTTTGTTTTTCGAGCAAATAGGCTCAAAATAAACAAGATGGCGGATCTAAACGCCCCTCTGAGGTGATTTGTGACGTCACCTGCTTGCAATTTGTCAAGCGCCTGTTGACAAAATATGATCAATAACAAAGAGTTTTGAAGTTTTACGATAATCGTCGTCAGGTATACAATATATTGAACTATATTACAGAATAGGTTGTTTTTGTGTAATCAAAGTATTTTGTTCTCGTAGTTGTTCCCTATCACAAATATTAATTGAGTGCAAATGGCCAAAAGCAGGCTCCTTGTGTTAAATTTAGTGGGAGGGGTAATCTGCCTTATGAACTGAAATGAATAAGGTAGCACTCCACAGTTAATTTCAAGTTCCTGCCGTCAATGTCCTACAAGCAATACGTCTAATAATTCTGATACCAAACTACACAACCTGGAAAAAGAAAACACATTTTGTTGAGAACATATATGACATAAGATTGCAAATCTACAAAGAAATTATGCCATCTGCAATAGGCAGGCAGTCAAAAAATTTGCCATTCATTCCGTTGAAGCCCAAAATCTACAGTGGCCCGAGACCCAAAACAACACATTTCGACCCTCTGGCAAAAAATATCTGCAAATATACAGGCTAAAGGAACACCGTCTCTGCTTTAGCAATACCCTATACATGCAAAATATCACAAAGAAACTAGTCCTCAACCTTGTAGATTTTTTGCTACTGCTAAAAGTTTGTACCCCCCTGTAAAATGACTTCTTTTTACCGTGCATGCTGTATAAAAGCAATGTTTACAAAAAATGGCGGCCTTGACATTCATAATCAACAGCATGTGATTTCTGGCCATGTTTTCGAATTTGCCAGTGATCATATTAGATGTCACAAAAACAAATTTTATGCTGAAAATGCATTTTAAAGACAACCAGTCATTTAAATCCAGAATATTCACTATATCCAAGAAATCCTCCCTGGCCATTCGAAGCTGTGGCTTACATTACTGTGGTGTGCTACCTAAAGTAACCAATATCACAGATATATAAACATTATATTTAGCTCCATGCCTATATTGAATATTCTTTAATATTTTTTTTCTTTACCAAGATTACTATATAATTATATATTTGAGTAATTTATGCACTGAGGTGTAAATTTATAGTTTGCATGGTATAGTCTTGCTTGTTTACTGCAGGGCATTTTTTGTCCAAATTGTGAAGGGGCCAGGGCCTGTTTATTTTGTGAAAAAAAGTGTGATAAGTCATAAAATTTTGAAGAAAAACAAATGACATATTACTTGGCATTTTGCGACATTTTGAAACCGGAAACGGGTGATTATAATTTACGATCTGTGTAAAATGTGCCTCAAGTTGGTACATTAACCCGCTTAAAATGTGCAAAAACCATTTAACTTGATTAAAACTATTTCTGTGTTATTGCAATTGGCGTAAATTACTGTTACACTCCTTTAAGTCTGTTGGGTAGTTGTTGTCCCTGGTATAAAATATAATGCTGTGTATATTTGATAAAGCTCAGGAATCGGAAATTTCATTTGTCAGCTTGTATTAAGGACTAGTACATTGTTTGCATTAACCGTTAACGATGGAAAACTGGAAACAAAGCTTGTGTGTTAGGTTATAAATATATAAATTTCGCAAGTTATAAAGCTCTGAATGCATTGTTAATTTGATATAGGTGTCATGGTTCAGAACTGTTCAGTATTTAGGGGAGAAGAATGATGTGTAAGCGGCCGAATAGCTAAGTCGGTAGAGCCGCAAGTCAGGCTTGTCAGACATACCGGTAAACTATAAAAAGCCTGTAACGTCTGATATAGGACTAAGCTGCGGTATGATGTTCCGAGGGTCCTGGGTTCGAATCGGGCTCAGGCTACACATTTTTTTCACCATGTGACATTTGGCACCCAACATGGGGCTGTGAGTGGATATAGCTCAGAATTTAAGTCTCTCTTGATTTAGGAAACTACCCGCCTATATGACTGAAATACTGTTGGGAAAAGGGGTAAAATGCAACAAAGATACAGTAATATTTGTATGTCCTTGTTTATATTGAAGGATGTTCATCATGAAGAGTGAAGAAACATTACAGAAATTACAAGAATCATCAGAATACAGGTCCATGTATAGAGAAATCATTCGTACTCAAATACAAACCTTGGTAAATATAACATCATTGCTTTATATTTGTTTTGAATATCATTTCCTACAATAGCATGAAAATTAAGAGAGAAGTCACTTCTCCGTTTTGGAAAAATAGGAAGAAGTTGTGAAATTTAAGAAGAAGTGATGCTTCCATGTAAAAGCTCAACAAATGAAGCTATAACATTGGATTTTTTTTTCAGCATAATGCCTGTGAAGTGATTATGTTAATTCTCATGTAAGAATTTGTATAGCAGATTGCCCTTCTTTGAATTTGGCACAGTCCATTCAAAGTTTAAGGGACATTCAATTTCAAAATACAAAACATAAGCATCCAACATTTTAGAGCCTGGCCTGACTGCACTGATGTGCATTTGCCTTGAATATGGAACAATCCATTCAAAGTTTAAGGTACTTCAGTTTCAAAATCCAAAAAAAAAATAACCAACATTATAGAGCCAGGTGAGACAGAAGGGATGTGGATTTGCTCAGCTCTTAAACAGATCTGTGACTTCTGTCATGGTTCATTTTCAAAATATGTTCTTACAATATAAAAATAGTGCATACCAAGATCAGACAGCACATCCGTTGCTGCCAGTTGACTAAGGGTTAAAGTTAAAAATAGTGAATGTATTTTCATTTTAGATTGACCATCTGGCAGTAGCAGGAGAAGAAAGTGTGTTATTAACAGCTTGTACTGAGGAAAATGATGTCACAGGAAAGTCAATAATTGTTGGGACCGAGCTTGGACAAGATTTTCTTACTCAGGAAAATGTGCTATGTAAATTTAAAGAATTTTGTTTGCAGAAAAAACAAGGTAATGTATGATTTATGAAATTTTCTTCAAAGATGTACAAATGTATTTTATTTGCACTGAAAATACTGTTATTAGATTGGCAAATTTTTGCAGACTTGCTGTGATAGTGCAAAATCAATTCTTTCTGTGTGTTACTTCTCTTACATTTGAGAGATCTTTCATCAAACTATTGTGAATATTGTTGAGGTTTTGAGATTTCATAATGGTTTGCTTGGAAGGCCATGTTTCACATTATGTTTAATATACAGGTACTTGGTGAAAATAATACACTTTATAAAGGTCAATGTTTTACATGATCTAATCAAATATTACAGGTGTAAATGAGAAGATTTGTGCGTCACAAAGTGTGCTCAGGTCAAGTGGTAGTCTAAACATTTCTGGTAAAAGAAAATTTAGTGAAATCAATGATGGAGATCAGGGAGAGAAGTAAGTATTGAAGTTCCAGTTAACCTGAGTAAAGTTTGGCCTCAGTTAACCTGAGTAAAGTTCGGCCTCAGTTAACCTGAGTAAAGTTTGGCCTCAGTTAACCGGAGTAAAGTTCGGCCTCAGTTAACCCAAGTAAAGTTCAACCTCAGTTAACCTGAGTAAAGTTTGGCCTCAGTTAACCTGAGTAAAGTTTGGCCTCAGTTAACCCAAGTAAAGTTCGGCCTCAGTTAACCTGAGTAAAGTTCGGCCTCAGTTAACCTGAGTAAAGTTTGGCCTCAGTTACCCTGAGTAAAGCTCGGCCTCAGTTAACCCGAGTAAAGTTCATCCACTTCATCGTTCCTTGGTAGGCTGTCATGCAGTTTACTAGTACTAGTTGCCTTTACTTTCGCAAGGAACTGATAACTTCTGTACATACCAGAGCAGGGGTACAGTGTGAATGACTGTAGAAAGGATTTCATGACCAATCATAATCAAAGTGACTTGCACCATCTGTGCATCAAACCTAATTCATAATTATTTTGATGCTCTACCAATTGAGCTAAGGGGATTGTAAAATTATTTTGTGTTCCTGGTGTGGTGTTGGTAGTTTTCACTCCGTATCACGGCATTAAGCCACATTGTATTTACCAGAGCACAGTTCAGCCACTGCATCATTCCTGGGCAGGCTGTCAAACAGTTTTACCAGTACTAGTTGCCTTTGTGGTTTGAATCCCGACTTTGGATTCTTTCATGTGAGGAAGCTATCCAGCTAGCTTACAGAACATTGGTGGTTCTACTCAGGTGCCCATTCATGTCTGAAATAATGCAAGGAAGGGCACCTGAGGTCTTCCTCAACCAGTAAAAGCTGGAACGTCGCCAATTGATATATACTATATACCAATACTGTGTCGGTGTGACATAAAACCCAATCAAACAAACAAAAAGACAAAGGTGTGCACTCATGCATAAAAATTTCAAACTGTTTCTAGCTGGTTGCAGATTCAAGTCATTATGATCAGTAGCGTTTAAAAGGTTGACATAAACTGGTTGTAAAATATTGATTAGCACTGAATTGGTACTAAAATTGTTTAGAAAAAGCAGTGCTAGTTAGATTTAAGGCCCATTATTGTTTTCATTCCTCAAAAACTTGGATTTTGATATTTTGTTATAGTTAATCATTGTCAAATTACCTGTATGTTTTTCCAAAGATACAACAGAAGAAAAAGATGGTATCTTTTTCTTCTGTTGTATCTTTGGAAAAACATACAGTTATAGTGATTAAGTATTTTGTATGGAAGTCAAAATATTGCTTTTGCTTAACTTTTGTTACATTCATCTGTGTTAACTTCCAGTGATAAACACATGATATGCTTTAAACCTATTTTTTAAATATCATTATTAAATACATAATTATTTGCACCATCTAATGAAGAAAAAAAATAATTATCTCAGAGGCATGTAAAACAAAATGATGAAAATCTTTTATATTGAGTAAATTATAAATATTTTTTTATATATAGAACACAAGATCTCAGTATAATAGCTTCAAGGCAAATTTAAATATTTTTACTTTTTTATCTGAACAATGTCAGTATATTTATTAGTCCCCTACCGGTTTACCGGAGGGGACTTTAGGTTTACCCTCCGTCCGTCTGTCCGTCTGTCCGTCCGTCCGTCCGTCCGTCAGTCCGTCCGCACTCACAGGAGAGTAATTATGTGGCTAGAGGGACAATAGGTAACTGTTCTTTCTCTTTGATGTCATTCATTCCGTAATGCTTTTATGTGGCTATTTTCTTTTGTGTGGCTAAAAAGAACAATAGAGAGAACAATAGAGTAGCCACATAATTACTGTCCTGTGAGAACTTCCGTCTGTCCGTCAGTCAGTCCGTCCGTCCACAAAACTGGATCCCGCGATAACGCAAAAAGTACTGAAAATATTTTAATGAAACTTGATATATGGATAGATGGCAGTATGGAGATTATGCACGTCTTTTTCTTTTCTTCCTATGTTGAAAATTCTGGTTGCTATGGCAACAAATAGACTGAAAATATGGCAAATTTTACACATAACCTGGATCCCGCGATAACGCAAAAAGTACTGAAAATATTTTTATGAAACTTGATATATGGATAGATGGCAGTATGGAGATTATGCACGTCTTTTTCTTTCCTTCCTATGTTGAAAATTCTGGTTGCTATGGCAACAAATAGACTGAAAATATGGCAAGTTTTACACATAACCTGGATCCAGTGATAACACAAAAAGTACTGAAAATATGTTTATGAAACTTGACATATGGGTAGATGGCAGTATGGAAATTATGCACATCCTTTTTTATCTTCCTATGTTGAAAATTCTGGTTGCTATGGCAACAAATAGACTGAATTTCAAGATTTCTGATTCTAGTTTTTAAGTTTTTTCACTATAAGTTCTTTATTTCTTAAGGTATTTTCTTCAAACTTTAAATATAAGTTGCTTGTCATCAACCACATCATATGTGACAAGGTTTACAACTCTAGCACAAAATTTATCAGAATTACCTCCCTTGAACTTAAAATTTTCATGAAAAAACATTGTTTTTTTTAATAACTTCTTTTTCTGAATGTATCTACTTCAAACTACATATAAATGTTTCTTATTGTCACTCAACATTTATGAGTGTTCAATACTCTAGCAAGACTATTTCCAGAATTATGCCCCTTTTGAACTTAGACTTTTTTTTGAGAAATTGGTAATTTTTACTCCAACTTCTTCAATCATGATAGGATTTTAAAAATGTTATATTTTGATAACAGGGATGTTTAAAAAATAACTTTAGAGTGTCCTTCAGTCCGTCTGTCTGTACATAAAAACTGTTTCCTGTGATCACTTTTAAAGAACTTTTTCAACAAATTTACTTAAAATACGAACCTAAGTGAATGGCCAATGGCCCTTCAGAATGTTGCTTGGGCTCTTACCGGTAGGGGACTTATGGATTGCTTGCAATACTATGATAATTGCTTGTTATTTTTAATTTTTTACGGGTTATTTAGTGCTGAAGTTGAGCAGATGACACCAAAAATGGAGACCAAAAGGTCAAGGTCAAGGTCAATGACACCTTCACTGAAACTAGTGAAAACTGAGGACGCTAGTTCTCCTGCAGGTAAGATAATAGTTAATATAAATCTGAACACTTGCAAGCGGTACAAACCAGAATATCACACTTGATGGTAACTGTTTTTAGTGGTAACAAGGCTCTGTCGAGTTTTCACCAAACAGTTGCCACAGAGTTTCTCATCTGTAACAACAGTCAGTCTTTCATTATTCATTTTTTGCATATTTTAAATCATATTTAAGAAAGAAACCACAAAAGAATTATTAGCTCTTATTTCTTATAGTAGTTTATGAATTTACAACTTTATTTAAAAGACAAATGACAGCATATTAAGCATACAATTTAAGAAAAAGGTGGGCAAGACATGGCAACTTGTCTTAGATCGGGGGTATGATGATGAAAATAAATTCTAATTACTCTAGTTATCTTGTCTTTCATACAAAAAACAAGATAATAATTTAGACTTATATTTACATAATTTAATGAGTCTGGGAAATGTTGCAAGACAAGCTTACAGTATAATGAGCTTTTTAGCTCACCTAAGCATGCTCAGGGTGAGCTTTTAGGATTGATGATTGTCCGTCCGCTGTCGTCCGTTCACATTTAGTTGTTAACACTCTAGCGGTCACACTTTTGCCTCAATCATCATCAAACTTGGTCAGGATGCTTATCTAGTTGATAGCTTGGATGAGTTCGAACATGGGTCATCTCGGATGAGAAACTAGGTCACAAGAGCTAAAAATAGAAAAACCTTGTTAACACTCTAGAGGTCACATTTTTGCCTCAATTATCATCAAACTTGCTCAGGATGTTTGTCTAGGTGATAGCGCGGATGAGTTTGAACATGGGTCATCTCAGATGTAAAAGTAGGTCACCGGAGCTAAAAATAGAAAAACCTTGTTAACACTCTAGCGGTCACATTTTTGCATCAATCATCATCAAACTTGGTCAGGATGCTTATCTAGTTGATAGCTCGGATGAGTTCGAACATGGGTCATCTCAGATGAAGAAGTAGGTCACTGGAGCTAAAAATAGAAAAACCTTGTTAACACTCTAGTGGTCACATTTTTGCATCAATCATCATCAAACTTGGTCAGGATGTTTGTCTAGGTGATAGCTCGGATGAGTTTGAACATGGGTCATCTCGGATGAAAATTGTCATCAAACTTGGTCAGGAAACTTGTCTAGGTCATTGCTGGGAATAAATCGAACATGGGTCATCCGGGATGAAAAACTAGGTCACAGGAGCTAAAAATAGAAAAATCTTGTTAACAATCTAGTGGCTACTGTTGTGATCCAAATATTCTGTTAATTGGTCTGAAAGTTTGTTTTGATGATTTCTAAGTCAAGAACGAACATGGGTCATCTTAGATGAAAAACTAGGTCACAGCGCCCAAATATGGAAAAACCTTGTTAACATTCTAGTGGTCACATTTTCGACTCAGTTATCATCAAACTTGGTCAGGATGCTTGTCTAGGTAATTGCTTGGATGAGTTCGAAATCACATGTGAAACTAGGTCACCGGAGCTAAAAATAGAAAAAATAAAAATAGAAAAATCTTGTTAACACTAGTTGCTACTGTTTTGATCCAAGTATCCTGGAAATTGGTCTGAAAGTTTGTTTAGATGATTTCTAGGTCAATGTTGGAGATGTGTCACCTGAGTAAAAAAACTAGGTTGCACTGCTCAAATATGGATAATCCTTGTTAACACTGTAGTGGTCACATTTTTGACTCACCTGTCATGTGACTTGGTCAGAATGCTTGTCTAGGTAATTGTTTGGATGAGTTTGATAAGTCAGGTGAGCGATCTAGGGCCATCATTGCCCTCTTGTTTAAAACGTTTTAAACAGACAATTTTAATGTTAGTAATGACAACAAATGTGAGATATTTTTCAGCATTATTTATTAATACAAAGCTTGAAAACTTTAACTTATCTAGGAAGTTCATGTCAGCCTTATGTTAAATCAGAATCTTCAAAACTTGAAAATTCAGTGAAATTGTACAAGGAATGTCATCAGTTCTGTGTATGATTGCCAGCTAGCACAGATAGTTTTCCTCCAGCACAGATCATTTTACTCTGGCAGGACTAGTGCATCAAATATAGATAAACCTTTAATTGTTTCTTTATAATCTGTGGCTTACAAATAGATCATCTGGACTTTTCTTAGGTAGATAATTTAGCTACAAATCAACATGGTATTCTAAATCAAATATTATAATTTAATTATACTCCTTGAATGATTAACAATACCAACGTTGATTTGTAGCTGGGCTATTCAAAGATGTTAAATGGCAATTTTCAAGATAACTATGTCATGTATTTTACCAAGTGAAATCTTTCTCTTTTTTTTTTTTTTTAATTCCTACGTTATCCTGACCTTTGTTTTACTATCAAACACTGAGAATAGTCAAACATGCTATCCTACTGACAGCTCTTGTATATATATTATTTCCCCTATTTTCAGGTGTGGACATACATGTACCTAAGGGATACAGCAAGTGTGGCATGTGTAACTATATGTCAAAGTTCAAGGCCAATGTGACACGTCATGAGAGAAGCATACATAAGATCAACATAGAGGGCAGCACCTTGGTAACAGCTCAGTATATGTGCGCCCTCTGTGAATATAGGTCCATGTACAGGGCAAATCTTGTTCGCCATGAGAAGACTGTACATAAGGTAACTTACCTGTTTGGTTTTACAATGAACAACAATTTACTAGAAAGCCAGGGTTCAGGACTCTTTATGGAAAACTCTGGTTATTATACCCCTTAAAACGAAGTTTGGGGGGGTATATAGGAGTCACCCGGTGGTCGGGCGGTCGGTCGGTCGGTCCAGACGTCCGTTGCATTTTCCTTGTCCGGAGCATAACTTGAAAACTAATGGTTGGAATTCAATATAACTACATACAATGGTCAAGCACATTGAGAGGAAGTGCAGTGCACAAGAACCATAACTCTATCTTGACTAATTACAGAGTTATTGCCCTTTGTTACTTTTCCTTGTCCGGGGCATAACTTGAAAACTACTGGTTGGAATTCAAAACAACTTCATACAATTGTCAAACACAATAAGGGGAAGTGCAGTGCACAAGAACCATAACTCTATCTAAAGTAATTACAGAGTTATTGCCCTTTGTTGCTTTTCCATTGCTTTTTTTTTGTTCGTTGCATTTTCCTTGTCCGTGGCATAACTTGAAGACTAATGGTTGGAATTCAATATAACTACAGACAATGGTCAAGCACATTGAGAGGAAGTGCAGTGCACAAGAACCATAACTCTATCTTGACTAATTACAGAGTTATTGCCCTTTGTTACTTTTCCTTGTCCGGGGCATAACTTGAAAACTACTGGTTGGAATTCAAAACAACTTCATACAATTGTCAAACACAATAAGGGGAAGTGCAGTGCACAAGAACCATAACTCTATCTAAAGTAATTACAGAGTTATTGCCCTTTGTTGCTTTTCCATTGCTTTTTTTTTGTCCGTTGCATTTTCCTTGTCCGTGGCATAACTTGAAAACTAATGGTTGGAATTCAATATAACTACATACAATGGTCAAGCACATTGAGAGGAAGTGCAGTGCACAAGAACCATAACTCTATCTTGACTAATTACAGAGTTATTGCCCTTTGTTACTTTTCCTTGTCTTGGGCATAACTTGAAAACTACTGGTTGGAATTCAAAACAACTTCATACAATTGTCAAACACAATAAGGGGAAGTGCAGTGCACAAGAACCATAACTCTATCAAAAGTAATTACAGAGTTATTGCCCTTTGTTGCTTTTCCATTGCTTTTTTTTTGTCCGTTGCATTTTCCTTGGCCGTGGCATAACTTGAAGACTAATGGTTGGAATTCAATATAACTACAGACAATGATCAAGCACATTGAGAGAAAGTGCAGTGCACAAGAACCATAACTCTATCTTGACTAATTACAGAGTTATTGCCCTTTGTTACTTTTCCTTGTCCGGGGCATAACTTGAAAACTACTGGTTGGAATTCAAAACAACTTCATACAATTGTCAAACACAATAAGGGAAAGTGCAGTGCACAAGAACCATAACTCTATCTAAAGTAATTACAGAGTTATTGCCCTTTGTTGCTTTTCCATTGCTTTTTTTTTTGTCCGTTGCATTTTCCTTGTCCGGAGCATAACTTGAAGACTAATGGTTGGAATTCAATATAACTACATACAATGGTCAAGCACATTGAGAGGAAGTGCAGTGCACAAGAACCATAACTCTATCTAAAGTAATTACAGAGTTATTGCCCTTTGTTGCTTTTCCATTGCCTTCTTTTTTTTGTCCGGACCATAACTTGAAGACTTCTGGTTGGAATTCAATATAACTACATACAATGGTCAAGCACATTGAGAGGAAGTGCAGTGCATAAGAACCATGACTCTATCTAAAGTATTTACAGAGTTATTGCCCTTTATTACTTTTCCATTGCTTTCTTTTGTCCGGACAATAACTTGAAGACTAATTGTTGGAATTCATTATAACTTCATACAATGGTCCAGCACATTGAAAGGAAGTGCAGTGCACAAGAACCATAACTCCATCTTGACTTATTACAGAGTTACTGCCCTTTGTGTCTTTTCCTTGTCCAGAGCATGACTTTAAAACTACTGGTTGGAATTCAAAACAACTTCATACAATGGTCAAGCACAATAAGAGGAAGTGCAGTGCACAAGAACCATAACTTCATCATGACTAATTACAGAGTTATTGCCCTTTGTTACTTTTCCATTGCTTTCTTTTGTCCGGACCATAACTTGAAGACTTATTGTTGGAATTCATTATAACTTCATACAATGGTCAAGCACATTGAGAGGAAGTGCAGTGCATAAAAACCATAACTCCATCTTGACTAATTACAGAGTTACTGCCCTTTGTTACTTTTCCTTGTCCAGAGCATGACTTGAAAACTACTGGTTGGAATTCAAAACAACTTCATACAATGGTCAAGCACAATAAGGGGTAGTGCAGTGCACAAGAACCATAACTCCATCTTGACAAATTACAGAGTTATTGCCCTTTGTTACTTTTCCTTGTCCAGAGCATAATTTGAAAACTACTGTTTGGAATTCAGTACAACTTCATACAGTTGTCAAGGACATTAAAAGGAAGTGCAGTGCACAAGAGCCATAACTCCATTTTGACAAAATACAGAGTTACTGCCCTTTGATACTTTTCCTTGTCCGGAGCATAACTTAAAACGTACTGGTTGGAATTCAAAACAACTTCATACAATGGTCAAGCACAATAAGAGGAAGTGCAGTGCACAAGAACTATAACTCTATCTTCAGTATTTATAGAGTTATTGCCCTTTGTTCTTTTTCTTTGTCTTTCTGGACTTATTACAGAGTAATTCAATTAAACTTCATCAATGGCCAACCACATTGAAAGGAAATGCAACATACATGAACCACAATTATCTTTAATTGCCCACAACCATAACTCTATGTTTCAATTCTTTTACAAGGTATTCTGTTACTAGTAACATCCTCATTTCCGAAGCAGACTTGGGGGGGTATTAATCACATTTAGTGATAGTTCTAGTTACATTAGTAAATGTTGAAAGGTCGGAGCCCCATGAGTGTAAACCAATTTCTTCCATGCACTTCTCCTTTTCACAAAAGATTTCAAATAAATTATAACAGAACTATCATGACCAAGTACCATTGTTTTTTTGTTGCTGGGTGGTGAAGGTTGTGATTTCATCATTGTTTGCCTTTTCTCACATATGTAATATACAAGTTTACTTGTTGAGAGGGATAATCTTCTGGAGATATTTTAACCAAATATTAAAAGAATACTTATACCATCATTAAGAAAATTAAAGTGTTGTGGGTTATATTATTTTGGTTTTAGGATTAAATCATTTTGGTTGAAGGGCTTTTGTTTATAGATCATGGAGGGTGGGGGGGCTTTTTTACCTGTGGTGATTAATATGAGTGCTGTATGTATGTTAATTAAATGATCCAACTCCTGCATTGTATGTGAAATAATGACTAAATGGATAAAAGTAAAAACTAAATGAATGATATAACATTATGACAAACATGTATAAAGTTACTTAACAAGTTGTGTGTAGTACAATTTTACACATACATGTACCTACAAATTTCTTATGAGATGTGTAATTGTATGCCATAAACCCATATAGCTGTGTATATTAATGACATATTCATTCAGATTGTAAAAATAATATGTATAAGTAAAGCATAATGCATTAATTTATAAGGGGGGTCCGTGGCCAAGGTTGTTGACTTCAAACCTCTTGCCCCTCACCGCTGTGTGTTCGAGTCCCGACAGGGACTTTGGATTCTTTCATGTGAGCAAGCCATCCAGCTAGCTTACAGAATGTCCGTGGTTCTACTCAGGTGCCCGCCTGATATAATGCTTGGAAGTGCATCCGAGGTCTTCCTCCACCAGTAAAGCTGGAATATCGCCATATGACCTATACTGTGTCCCGGTGACGTAAAACCCAATCAAACAAACAAACAAACATTAATTTATGTCTCAAATCTACATATGGTGTAGATTCATAAAATATAATTTTGACAAGTATGTTGGCAATAAGATTTATAGCATATTATTCATTTTCAGATCATATTAACATATTCTTATTTTTTTTTCTCTCCAGATTTCCAGTTCTAATGCAGACATAGAAAGCAGAAAAATTCAGGTTGTTCAAAATGGTGATGGTTCCTCATTTACTGATGCAGATGTGAATAATTTTGAAACAGAGACGGGGAACCAACTTTTTATGAATCAGACTGGTTCTGAGATAGAAAATATTGGGAACAAGTCTTTTGACAACATTAGGGAACCAGACCTCAGTATTTCTCAGATTAAACAAAATTATGATCTCTCTGATGCTAAAATAGGGTACCAGACTGTCAGAAATGATGGGAATGATTCTAGTACTGAAAGTTTTGAAAACCAGTCTAATATTGAATCACCAGTAGATGTTGATGGATGTCACATTTGTAACTATTGTCAATTACTGTTTAATTCTAAATCTAAACTTTTGGAACATGTTGATGATGCTCATTTAAAATCAGATCTGGTAAACTGTGAAAAAATGTTTGAAAGTGAGACTGGTCTGCAAACAAATACTGTTACCCAGAATGCTCCAAAACAGGAAGTTTGCAAATGTGGGAAAGCATTTCAGTATAGAGCCAGTCTGATTAGACATGAGAGAAAGTGTGAATTTTGGACAACCAGTGAGAAAAATAACAGCCCAGGAGAGCATCCTGAGATGTCCGAAGCTGATACAGTTAAAGTAAATGATGAGCATGACACAAACTCAACAGTGACTGAAAGTGGAGAGAGTAACATTGAACAGAACTTTGAGAAAATTTGAATTAATAAATAAGGATTCCAGGGTTATGTTTTCTTGACAGCAACATTCATAAATCAGTATTTTAACATTGTTTGTATTACGCCATGATTTTTTAACAAATGCGGACACATATTTTTCAAAAAGATTGCAAACATTTCTTAGATGTATTTAATATTAAGATATAAGTAATGTAATGATGATTTTTTTTCTATATTTATATGTCATAAATGTCATGTTATTAAAATGTTGGTTTTTTACATGTACTTTTATGTGATTTGAAACAGAACCTGTTATCTGTTCTACTACTATTTATAACCATTATTTAATATTCCAAAGATTTTTAATGACATGTTGCAGCTATTTTCCTTTAAATTTGTGACAAATATATATATATATTATATGTGCATTATTATTTTGTACTGTAGAACTGGTTTTATTCGCGTTGGATGATTTTTTTTTCTAATTTTTGCTAATATTTGCTTATCATTTTCTTCACGAATTCAAGTGTCCTAAATAAATATGATGACCTGAAATTAGGAATATCTTACTTTATTCAGGAACACTTTTGATTTTGAATATGATAATGAAGAGGATTGAAGACTTTTTAAAAAAAGAACAAACAATTGAAATATTGAAACTGAAAGTGTTGTATAGTATTCTGTTAAAATATTTTTCTACATTGTATATTACTGATAGGTATATTACCTATAAATTGTGACAATGATTATATACATGTAGCAGGTATACATGCTACTAGCTACCTCTAAGGATTACATGATGTAATATTTACAATATGCCTTATTCCCACCTGTGTGATGAATTAGAAACATGTGTATATAAAAATATTAAAATAGAGTTGGTTATTTTTTTATTTTTTATCCCCCACCCAACCAAAATGGAGAGGCATATAGTTTTTTGTAGCATTCGTCCATTCATCCCTCTGAGCGGAGCAATAGATACTGTACTTTCTGCTTGATGTTTTTCATTTCATAAGTCTATAATGTGACTATTTTCATTATGTGTCTAAAAAGAACAATAAAGGGAACAATGGACTTTTGTCATTCAGAGAAAGACTTTGTAATAACTTCGCTTAAAAAGTTGAACAAACAATTTGTGATGACTTTGTAGTTAAGAAATCAAGGTCATGCTAGGACTTCTAAGGTTTATATAGTTTCATAAAAGTACATGGAAGGTTATATACAGTCATTAATTCAGTCATCCATGAATGGATTTTGAAATAACTAGGCATACCTCTCTGGCACCAAAGGAAAACTTGTCACATGCAAACACCAGGTCAACAGTTTAAAGTACTAGTTTAAAAGGTGAAGGTTATACATGTTCTTCAATATAGTACATTGATGATTATGTCTGGTCATATCTTTGTCATTCATTCATGGATACTTTTTTGAAATAAGTGGTCTAACAGATTATATGAGAAAGTATTTGTTAATGTTTCTATATACATGTATGGTACTGGTAACACTCTTTTTATAGTAACAATGCCTTTGATGTAAGTCAAAGGTCATAGTTTTTCTACTGGGTCCTGTTTATGGGGCATTTGTTTGTTTCCAGTGACAGTTCTTGTTGTTTTTAGCTTTGCAGTTTAATTTAAAAGGAAGCGCCTTTTATAACTTAAAGATTGCTTTAAAACTTGAATACTTATTTAAAATTACCACCTTTACCACAGACTTTAATTGACAATTCCGTGCCATAACCCACTTAAAAGCCATAACAGAAGACTGTTTCATGGTTTATGGCCCCCTACTCACCTGATTATAGACTGGAAGTCGAGGAGTAAATGACTCCCAAACTTTCATTGATGAAAGCCTTGCACCACACTTTACTTAACCATGACTTTTACGGAATAACAACGTATAACCTTTGTCAACTTAGAAAATATAATGTTATTAAAGCAAAACCAGTCTTCAAAACTATTAAAGGTACTAGTATTCACTTGAAATTTTGTACAAGTCTTTAGGAACAGAATTGTAGGTCACAACCCAAGGCTTTAAATCTGGCATAGGTTATAAAAATTTCATACAGATTTCTATTGAATCAGTCCAAGAAATCATTGTATTTCTGTGGTGAAGTGTTTTCACTTTTTTTGTTTACTGGACAGCATTTTAACTTATTACTCTACAGCAGTGTTTAAGATATCATGAATATTAACTCTACAACTTTTCAGTTTCCGCCCTGAAATTCTTAAATGAACTTGTTGATCTGTCAATCTGGATAAATCCTTTCATCAATTTTAATGAAGGAAACGGTAAAAATATGTACTGACTGAATAGTGAAATGCTGATGTGCAGGTTAATCTCTGTCTGCGCTGGTCACATGGGTAGTTGATGCCAATAACAATAACCATCAACATGACAGTTAGTATATGTTATAATGTATTAGTATATGTTATAATGTATGTTGATTTATTTATAGAACTGCATAACATAATATTGAAGGATTGTAAAACAATGAACTTGCAAAATGCACTTCATAGTTGCACTTTTGATCTTTGAACAAAGTATTGAATAAGTCACAAAGAATTGTTTGAATATTACAGGGAAGATTATTAAATAAAACGTACCAAGTTCAATCTCAATGTTGGAGTTTTAAATTAACAGTAAAAAATTCATACACTAGTATCACATAAAATAGTTCAATTTACTGGTTTTTGTATGTGAATCCTACCATGCAAATTATCTTAAATTGAGTTTATCACCCTGGACAAAACCATAGTACATCTTTTTTTAGTGAAAATTTCTGAAGATTTAATGACTTAATATCAAAGACCAAGATCAGATGGCACAGATCCTAACCCATAGCAATTAAACTGGTATACTTGTTTGTTTGTTTGGGTGTTATGTAAATCTTAACATATTTTTACTTATATCTTTACTGTTGATCCACCTTACCACCTTTCCTGGGAACATCAATTTCTACACAAGTGAGTGACTACTAGTCCCACATAATTTTTTTTAATCAGAGTTGAGACACAAATGACCATTAGACTTGATGTCAGAGACCACTTCTCATGGAGAAATTTTTCCATTTTCAAGGATCATACCTGTTTCTATTGGTTCAAACATATCTATTCAAGCTTGATTGCGAAACAAGTTCTTGCAACTTAAATTAACAGGGTGTCCATTAGACCCATGAAATGACTCTTTGACTCTTCAAATTTCCTTATGGCCTGATCTGCCCCTCAGAATTCAAACTTGAGGGTCAAATTTTGATAAAATCATGGGATTTGACCTTGTAATTGGCAAAACTTAGTCCATACTGGTCAAAATGTTTGTTTGTTTTATTTTACGCCTTTTTCAACAGTATTTCAGTCATATAGGCGGGTAGTTTCCTAACCATCATTCCTGGAGAGTTACACCAGTACTAGAATACCTTCCTCTGCGCTAAACTACCAAAGCATCTCCCGGGGATCGAACCCACGCCAGAGAGGTAACTGGATTAGAAGTCATCGACTCTAACCCCTCGACCACGGGGGCGGGTCAAAATGACCCTCAGAATTCCATGGCTAGTGGAACCCCTGATTAATCAATTTCAAGTCCGCTTCCTGGAACCAACCAGTACTGGTGTCATATGGAGAAACATGGTCGTGACCTAAGTAGGGCTCGAACCAATGATCTCTGGGTTGAGAGGCAGACACCTTAACCACTAGGCCACCGCTCCCCGTAATACCTGTGACTATTGCGCTCAGCTGTCGGATATAGATAAAACACACAAGAATATATTAAAGAGCAACAAGCTTTATTATAACACTTTCATCAAGAAAGTTCAAAACAAGAAACATACTTCATAAAATTACACCTTGTACTGTTAAGTTTCTGACATTATTACATTAATAAGTACCCAGTACATTCTTTACATCCCTATGAATTAAATTACTTATAAACACTTATTAAATTAGTTCTTTATTATTATTTTTTTTTTCTTCTGTGAGTGGAATTTTATGATTTGCCTGTAAGTCATGGAGGGGTAAAGTAAACAACTACCATATCTTAGTTGAATAGAAAAATTTCCTAAGAAAGTAAATATCTGAACGATAAATATATCTGCTAATGGTATAAAATAACAATATTTGGTACCGGTCTACCAAAGCATGTAAATTACAAAATTCAAAATTATGCAATCAAATTCTCCAATTTAAGATGGCTACAAAAATCTCAGAGCCATCATTTTAATAAAGTAGCTTACCGGTATTAAGCAGTATAAAATAGTCAGTGTACATGGGAAAAATGCCAAAAAACTTGACAGTATAAGATAAATTTTTCAACATGTAACAATCATTCACTGATAAACCAACTAACATAATCTAGATATTCCATGATATGAAATACAGAGTATAATAATTATATTTGATCTGAGTGAATGTTAAATAATTCCCTTTAAAAAGAAAGGTATTTATATTTATACTGTGTTCCGAGTGAATATTTACTAAATCCTTCTGTAATAAAAATATGTGTATATTTCTTTGTCTGTTCTGGGTGACTATGAAATAAATCCCTCTCAAAAGTGAGATATATCAATAAATCCCTCTGAAAAGTGAGATGTATCAATAAATCCCTCTGAAAAGTGATAATCAATAAATCCCTCTAAAAAGTGAGATAAATCAATAAATCCCTCTAAAAGTGAGATAAATCAATAAATCCCTCTAAAAAGTGAGATATATCAATAAATTCCTCTAAAAAGTGAGATATATCAAATCCCTCTAAAAGTGAGATATATCAATAAATCCCACTAAAAAGTGAGATAAATCAATAAATTCCACTAAAAAGGGTGATATATCAATAAATCCCACTAAAAATTGAGATATATAAAAAAGTCTCACTGAAAAGTGAGATACATGTATATCTTCTCTATTTGTGAATCAATCTGTGAAATGTGCGATATATCAATTTTGTTTGCTCTGAATGAATAAGGAATAAATACCTTTGTTTAGTGTGATACACAAGACACTAAATGTATATCAATCCTTTTTGTTCAGAGTGACTATGGAAATAAATTCTGCTGAAGTGATTTTTTAAGGATATTTTAATGAGCTTGACTAGGTGAACATGAGATTGCAATATTGCATTATATTACCCCTTAAAATAGAAACTGAGAAAATTTTTAATTCTCTCTTCATTTTATTCAAATTTATGTTAATAAAATATTTCCACTGTTGAAACAAATATATTCAGTGGGAGATAATATATGAGCCGCGTCACGACAAAACCAACATAGTGGGTTTACGACCAGCATGGATCTAGACCAGCCTGCGCATCAGCCCAGTCTGATCAGGATCCATGCTGGTCGCAAACCCATTATGTTGGTTTTGTCGTGACACGGCTCATATATTATACATTTTTATTATGTATAAAAACGTCCATATTTCATTACTTAAAACCCGATTAGTCACAAAGGTTCACCAGAAACCTGGCTGTTTTTCTACATTTTAATCGGCTTGGACAATGATTGATTGATATCCAAAGACAGACATGGTACATACATGTCTTATTATCAATCCAAACTAAAAAGCAACATTTTGTTTATTATGAACTTAGAGTATCAGTATTGTAACAAAATTCCTGTAAAACATATCTGAATTAAAACAGTATGAAAAAGAAAATCAACAAGAAGTATTTTATTCATGACAGTTTGAAAATAAATGAAAAATTAACATATTGTATAAAATAACTGCCCCTCAAATATTACCATTATAAACAATTTAAATTTTTTGTTACCATAACAACAGATTTTCTAATAACATCAATAATCAATATCAAAATTATAATAAAAATTAAAGAAATAAAAAGGGGAAAGATTTTTACCTCAAATTTGTCTGAATTTTCAAAAAGTTAAGGGTGGGGATGTGGAATAATTGGATGTGTGTGTAAGGGGAAGAGTTCAACTTAAGGGGGGGGGGGGGGGGGGGGGGGGGGGGGGGGTGATGAACTTATTTGAGGAAGAACACTTATAAGAACAATACAATAGAACATTGTATTACATGTATATAATAATGTCTAACATATAACATAAACATATAACAATTTCTTCTGAACACATTCACTTTCATCATAGCATATTACATCAGTAGTTTTAACAATTAAGAATATTAAAAAGGTTATATCAGTCCCCTTTCCTGCCTATTTTGAGAAAATTACCCGAATGAGAAATATTGTAATAATTTCAAGACAAAATTGGCCAAACTTGGTTGAAAATTTGCATAAGCATGTACACTGGAGTTGTCAACTAGGGCATTATCAAGGTTTTCAATGAAACATAAAACAAATGTTGGGGAACTTTATCTCTTAGAATATAAATATTAGTTTTACTGACTTACTAAAAATTTCACTGACAATACACAAAGGGGGTTACACACCAACAAGATCAATTACTCAGCAAAGGTGCTTGCAGTATCTGAAATTTCATGCTGGATTTGGAATATTGGGAGAAAAAAATCTCCACATCTGGCATATTAGAAACTGTTTGCAGACAGGGGGAATAATGCCAATAAAATTACCTTATTACTGCATTGTTGCCTCCCTTTACCCAATAATAATTAACTAGGGGTGTGATGTTTATCCATTTAAACGGGTAGGGTCAGTTTTAGCTAAAAACTGGTTGGAAAATTCAATAACCAGTAACAGAGGTCAATATTTTTCAAAGAGGCTTTAAAACCTTCCAAAATATACATGCACACCAGTTGAATGACATTATAATAATCAACATTTGCTAGAAAGCTTAAAACTAGAAAGCATCTAACAGGCAAAATATGGCATGATGCAAATAACTAAATATTACAATTTGTCACATAATTTGTATAACAATATGTTCTTCTAACACAAAAAGAAACACTCTCAAGAAATCCATTTTTCAGAATTTATATCCTTTTCAGTGCTATTTAGGTATTGTTTCCAAGGACATCACCCAATGACAGTCCTAATTTAAACCTTAAACTCAAAAGGTCTTAATCCCTATAACAAACAATGACACTGTATGTGCAAGTTCATGGTGCATGTTGAATTATAACATGAAAATAATCCAATTGGGATCTCACTTATACATTCGATTATAAATATGGTTAAACATCTACATGTATTATATATGTGGTTCTTGGAGCCCATACTCTCCCTGCCCTTTTTTTTTGCAAACCCCAAATATATTTCAAGATAGTTATTCATTCCAACAATGTCCCAAACTGCAATTTGCAATAGAAAAATCAATTATGCAAATATGAACAAGAGATTAATATCTCTATAAAACATATAAAAATAATATATTTAACAATTCAATATCTAATCTCTGATCATATATCAACTATTATTTTTCATGATTCATCCTTGTGAGAAAATTTACAACCCTACTAACTTATTTTTTTAAAGTTTACTCCTCTGAACCACACATAAAATCTTGTCCTGGCCTTATTCTGAACCATAAATGAGCCGCACCACGACAAAACCAACGTAATGGGTTTGCCACCAGCATGGATCCAGACCAGCCTGCGCGTCCGCGCAGTCTGATCAGGATCCATGCTGTTCGCAGATGCGCAGGCTGGTCTGGATCCATGCTGGTCGCAGACACATTACATTGGTTTTGTTGTGATGCAGCTCAAATCTACATTCATTGAAGGCATGATAACAACGTATGATTTTAGTTTTGCAAAAAAATAAACTGACACACACACAATTTAACAGTTATCAATTAAAGCTCTATGATACATGAATATAATCCAATCAAGAAAGAAAAATCAGAGTTGTATGTAAAATATATCTTTATATCTTGGCTATCACTCCTGTATTAAACGACTGACAATTACCTTATCAACAAATATCATATCAAAAAATATTTTCTCTTCACAAATGTAAAAATATAACTGTGCAGAGTTAATATAATACAAAATATCTGAAAAAAATGAAGACTCAAGACATTAAAGATTAAACATTAATTTGAAAATCAGGTCGTATTAATTACATACTGTATTATTTACAATTGAGAATACCTCTCTTAAGGTCGGCCAGTTCTCTGTTTTGTTCAAGAACACATTATCTTCTTACATATTGCACAATGAAGTATCTCTTTAACCCTTTCAACACTGGATTTGTGGAATGGACTTGCCATGTTTTGACACTGGAACAGTCCATTTGAAATTTCAGGGATTTCAATATCAATATACAAAAGTTGTTAAAACTAACAGTATAAAGCCTGTAGGTCCAGATTACTGGACAGTGCAGGCTGGCCTAGCTCTGTAAAGGTGACAAAGGTTTATAACTTTCAGTTCAGGGAGGTTAAGGGTTAAAATTGAACCTTTAATATAAACTGTATTAAAAACTTGTTTTTGGTTTATTATTATTTAAGTGATATCTTCCAGTTTCCAGCTTTATTCGTGGAGGAAGACCTCAGGTGCCTGACTGTGCATTATTTCAGGCTCAAATGAGTACCTGAGAAGAAACACTGATGTAACATAAGCTGGATGGATATGTTTCATGCATAAAAGATTCCAAAGTCCAAGGTTAGACTTGAACCTACATCAGGAAGGGGCAAGTAATTTAAAGACTACCTTTAACCAATCAGTGATGGTCAACTATTAAAAACGGAATATAGATCACAGACTAAAGCCAACAAACAATTTTCTATCACTGTAAATTTTCAAACAATTTTCTATCACTGTAAAGTAATAAAGTACAGCTTCAGTAACAAAGTGAAGAAAAAATATTAAGGCACAATGATTGTAATACTTATTTCTTCAGTAACAGTCTTATGAAAAATCTAATCAGATAGGCAATTTAACTTATTGTTAATCTGTAGTAAGTCTAGACTGTAATGAAAATAAAAAAAAACACTGTAATTGTGAAAAAAAAATCAGTAAAAATCTAAATTATTCTAATGTAGTAGTGAAAACAATTTTTAGTAAAAATATTAAATATTCACATGTAATTGTGAAAACAATTTTAGTAAAAATATTGATTATTCCGATGTAATTGTGAAAACAATTTCAGTAAAAATCTAAATTATTCCAATATAGTAATTGAAAATAATGTGAATAAAAATCTAAATTATAACAATGAAATTTTGAAAATCTTTTCCAGTAAAAATCTTATAACAATCATATATATTATAATTATCTGTCTGGATAGCTGATAAATCTAGCTGACAATTCTAGCTGACAATTCTTACAATGACAGCTACAGATGCAGATAACTACTGCTGCTAAAACCTCCAGCTATTAAAAGCAACAAAATTCATGATGACAAATTGAAATCCTGATATCTGCAGATGCTGACAATTTCTGATGCTGACAACTGCAGATGCTGACAATTTCTGATGCTGACAACTGCAGATGCTGACAATTTCTGATGCTGAAAACTGCAGATGCTGACAACTGCTGACTCTAACCATGCTGATGATTAGAACACTGCATCTACTTAACAACAGTGCTTTTCATTTATAAATATACATTCCTCCATTCACACACATGTTCCACAGTTAACAATAATAATTATGATGACAGTAATGTTGATTATTTGTTCAGAAATGTGTAAGTAAATTAAATAATCTATTTTTAGAACAAGTTCCCTATTAGTATCAGAGGGACTCCTGTCATGTTAAATAAGATGATTACATATCCATCACTTGTGACTTATTTAATCATTTTATGTGGTTTATATTAATCAAAATTAATACCACTGGAATGGAATGATGACAACAATATCATAAAATCAAGGTTTTAGACAAAACCCATATGTACTTCCTGTCACAGATCAACAATGTCATGCTCATCAAAATGTCGTCTGCTTAGTATCAGATGATGTTTTTTTTTGGTGAACAATCAAGGTAAACTGTTCCAATCACATTTAATCTTGGGTAATTGAATCAGCCAGACTGATAAATAACCCAATGGCATTTCCAGATAAAAATAAACACTGGTGTACTTTATATAGTGATGACAACAATGTTGTATTTTACTCATTCAGCATTTTATAACACAGTACAGCACATGTAAGCCTGAGTAAAATGTTGTTGGAATTTGAAAGCACTTGAATATCTACATGATGACGATCAGACTTCAAAAAACAGGGAAACTGAAAAATAAATTAAGAATATAAATAAAATAATTTTATATAGAGGATATTTGTTTGTTTCAGTGTAAGATCGAAAAATATTTCACCGAGTGAACACCAGATGCAATATTTTCCACGAGTGGCGTAGCCACGAGTGAAAATATAATAGCTGGGGTTCACGAGTGAAATATTATTTGATCTTACATGTAAAACAAACAAATTTTCTGTTTATTTCATGATTTTTTTAATGATTTTTACACCATTTTACTGATTTTTGCCGCGTAACGTCATGCTCTTATCTTCATGACGTCATCAAATAATGACGTCACAATGTTGAAGCAAAATATAATTCCATGATTATTTTTAGATTTTAGATGTTTTTCAGCACAACGTTCGTAAATATTTACGAACTACAATTATCACGTACATTTTTTATTATGATTGACATCATTTCCACTGAAAAAAATATTCATTAATGATAAATATTTTATTTTTACGCCAAATATAGTTCGGCTACTGTGAAATTATATTTGGTAATCATTACTGTGAAATTATCGGAATATAATTAACCGTTATAATTCAGTAATCTACTGCAAAACATGTAATAAAATCCTTATTATTTATAATTCATAATAAATTGTTACCTGTATTTCACAAGCTTACATACATGTACAAATTTATTTGCAGAATACAATGATACCTCGACAGAGTAGCCCTCTTTAAAACAACAACCTCTTTACAAAAACTTGACAAAATATTTTATCATCTTGAGAGCATTGCATGAGCACCCCTCTCTCGGCAACACCCCAAATCTTTGCCTCACAAGGGGTGTTGCTCTGCTGCGGTTATGCTGTATTTTTCTCTTTCATATAATATAGCATGTTCCTTCCAATTTCACAAATATGAGATATTTATCAAATAGAGGCATAGCCATAATGTATCATACATGACCTTAGCCATTATAGAATCAGAAGCAGAACTCCTTCCCCAATATAAATTTATTTCAGTATATCCTGACAAATATCTGGACACTTTATAAAAGAAATAAATCATTCCATTTACTTGGTAACACAACTTTTTAAAGAACACATTCAATGTTAATAAGCATTATTATGGTCAGTCCATTAGATGTCAATAACAAAGATGCACATCAAAGGCTGTCCACCAGTCTAACTACAATGCTATGAGCCAATGGGCCTGATCTCATGCAATTTATGGCCATAATAATGAGCTGTATATGAACCTGATCATGGGCTATCCATAAGCATGATCATAAACTTTCTATGGGCTGTTAATAGGCCTGATAATGGAATGTCAATAAGTCTGATCACTAGCTATTATATTTCACAAGTATAATCATGAACTGTAAGTCTGAACAGTAACTCTGAACATGGGTTGTCATGAAGCATGATCATGAAATGTCAATTACCTGAACTTTATTTGTCATTTACTAGTATGAACATACATTGTGCATATGTGCCTGAACTCTTCATCAGCTGTCAATAACAAGCAATACAACCCAGACCATGAACTTTCAATAAAAATTGAAGAATTAAACCCCACTTTCTCTTAAAATGGTTTATTCAAAACTATAAATCACATGTTCATAGACAAAATGATGTCAGCAATGAATAGAGTTAAATCCTTATAAGTACAAGTTTTAATAAATCAAGTGAAGTAAGGAGTACTCTTGTTTATAAAACTGATAACAAATTGTTTCCTCTTCATGTCAAAACACGTTAAGAGAAGAACATGTACTTAATCAATCACAAGGCTGAAAAACTACCACCTACTCGTAACAGTTTTAATGAGCTCCACTTAAATCTATCATTATTTCAAAATCATATCTACTCAAGTTGAATCCCACATTAAGAACATTCATAATGTACAAGCATCATGAGTTCAAAGTTAATGTGGTAAATAAGTCTTCAACAATCTGTATTGGTTTTCAAGAATTTCCATAATTTATTTTTAAAAACATCGAAACAAGTCATTGTTTAATATTGGTTTCCACTTTAAAAATGTCTAAGTCCAAAAAATATACCGCAAGTATCACACTCAAAACCATATGACCACTTGTATAATTAATGTGTTTACCTAATATAGATATGATATAATGTAAATCAAGTTGTAGATTTTCAAATGCGGAGAAAAATATTATTGTCTTGGGAAAACCATATATAAATGTGTCAATTACTGAAAGAAAAATTGCATGTCTATGCTTTGTTTATTTTCCTAGTTAACGGCTATCTTGCTTTCCAGGATATTACTAACCAGTAATATTATAAGTATAATTTCTTCACAAGTGACACACGGATATTAATTTGCTGAATTTGTGGTGAAACAAAATGACCATTAGAGTCAATGATAAACTGTCATAGAAAAAGCTTGATTACTCAAGTAGTTTTGCAAAGTGATACTGACACACTACATACTCAATATCTGCCTAATTACTTAAACCATCTTCCATACGCCTTACACCTTGCCATTGTTAATAGAGGAAATTTTAACAGAGAACTAAATACATGTACATAATTGATCATTCAAATATGGAACACTTTAGTTAATTTAAGGTGTTTCAATATATGAAAAGAAATATAATTCAGCAGCAGGTTGTATAAAGGTTCAAATTGTCGAGTCTTCAAATGTCCATCGATCCACCATATCAAAATAACTACAGTCAAGCAACTGTCGGTATAAAGTCTGTTCAGACTACATGATGGTCAAGGCTAGTGTTTACATTTATGGCAATGGCAAAGGCTTCGTAACAAGAACAAAAGCTATGTTTGAATCCTCATCATGACCATTGACCCTGTGACCTCTATGTTGGTACAACTCATCAAGGTACATGCACTGTTAATTTTAAAAGGGCGTAGGCAAGAAAGACTTTTGTGTTAAGGTCAAGGTAAACAAAAAGCCAGATAATCCCATCGTGAGCTATAGATCCATAAAACCTCTTACCTACGAGTTATTACGGACAGGTAAGTCTATAACATTTAAATGTACAGCTACTGGACTGGCTTCATCGTACACTTCACCTTTCGATGACATTTGACCTTGAATATTACTTAACTGAAAATATGAAAAAGAAACATTTTTTGTTAAAGCACACTGTTTACTGGCTGTAAACCTCAGAAAATAAAAAACAAAGTTATATTTAAAAGCTTTGTTTGGTTGAGCACTTTGTGTTGATCCATATAAACAAGAGCGATCAGTAATCACATGTGTCGCCTCATGATGGCCAATTTCATGTTGGGACAAATTTTGTGACAGACGGACAGACAGACAGACAGTGCACAACTAGACTTGGTACTAATCATTCCTGTAAAGTTTGGATAAAATTGCACCAGTAGTTTATGAGGAGTAGTCAGGACAAGCTTTTGCGTATCTGGCAACACACAGAAAAAAACACTTTTTTATCAAAGGGCCATAACTCGGCCAAAAATCATTCAACCAGAAAACCCGTGCAATATGCACAAGGACTTGAGCTACAGATAAATCCTGTAAAGTTTTATTGAAATTGCTTTAGTGGTATAAGAGAAGTAGTCCGGACAAACTTTAAAAATAAAAATTATTAAAGGGCAATAATTCTGACAAAAATCATTGTACCGGAAAATGCTGACAATATGCACAACTAGACTTGGAACTGATCATTCCTGTAAAGTTTGGATGAAATTGCACCATTAGTTTATGAGGAGTAGTCAGGACAAGCTTTTGTGTATCTGGCAACACACAGAAAAAAACACCTTTTTATAAAAGGGCCATAACTCGGCCAAAAATCACTCAACCCGAAAACCCGTGCAATATGCGCAAGGACTTGAGCTACAGATCAATCCTGTAAAGTTTCATTGAAATTGCATTAGTGGTATAAGAGAAGTAGTCCAGACAAACTTTAAAATTATAATTTATTAAAGGGCCATAACTCTGACAAAAATCATTAAACCGAAAAATGCTGACAATATGCACAACTATACTTGGTACTGATCATTCCTGTAAAGTTTGGATGAAATTGGACCAGTAGTTTATGAGGAGTAGTCCAGACAAGTTTTGTGACGGACGGACGGACAGACAGACAGACAGACAAACAGACGACGGAGAAGTGATCCCTATATGTCGCCACTCCGTAGAGGAGACACAAAAATGATCTACACCTGATAAATATATATTGTGTATAAAATATTTATTTTTTTCTACTCTTTTTTTCTTTTACCTACCATAGTGAATAAGCCACCTTTATGTTGTATAACAGATGGAAATACTTGTATAAGTAATATGTACATACATTATAATTTACATATAAAATCTATACCATCTCTTGACACACTACAATTTTACTCAACACTTAAACTTAGAACAATATAGCTTGACGTTCTTAAAGACTCATCTCTATCTATGTTACTTTTTTAAAATTTTATCTTAAATTATAATATATTGTTGTTATTCTAAGTCATCAAACAGTTCTTTAATGGAAAAGCAGCTTATTATCAATGTGCATAATGCTCAATGATCACAGAAAGTGATTATGTCTGACAAGTCTGATTTGCAGTCTGCACATTACTGTAAGTTAGAGTGTGCCTTTAATGGTAAATAATGTTTTAGGTTTATGTTACATAGGAATATATACGGTAATACTTCATGTATGAAGTCATAGCTTGCCTTTAAAGGGTCAATATGATTAAGAGATTAATATGCTTAACTTACAGTTAGTTAACAAGAGCTGTCTGTAGGACAGCACGCTCGACTATTCTAAGTGCTTGATAGTAAAAGAGCCTTGATAATGTTAAATTTTTTAAGTTTACAAAAGGGCTATTTTTTTTTATAAATTCTTGTTATAGGCCTTAGAGAGAGTCTAATTAAACAGTATTGGCTTGACTATTCGGAAGGTAATGTCACAAGGGTGTTTTATTGAGTATAATAATACTAATTACCTATGAATACATAAATTTGACAGAAAAGGTACAAAGGCTTTGTTATTAAGATGTTTTATCAAGTAAAATCACTGCTTAATTATTATGAATGCATAAAATTGTCCCAAAAAAAAGGCACAAACCCTTTAGTAGTTTATTGAGATAACCAGCTTACAAATGAGTTTCTAAGTTGAAAAAGGGGAGAAAAATCAGCCTAAATGCAAGATAGAATTATGGATCTTTGTCAGTGACCTACAATTATGACCCTAAATGCATATGTGAAGTTTTAAATAAATATCTTTAATAGTTATTGAGATATGTAAAACTTGCATGTAAACATTAACCAAGAGACTAAGTAGAAAAGGGGATATGAATCAGCCTTAATGCAAGATAGAGTTATGGAACTTGGTCAGTGACATACAATTATGACCTCTCAATTATGACCTAAGTGCATGTGTAAAGTTTCAAGTAAATATCTTTGAAGACCTTTAACCAAAATTTCTAAGTTTCAAAGGGGCAAATAATTCTGCAAATATTGCAGGCAGAGTTATGCAATTTTGCAAACTGATGTACATTGTTACTATAAAAAAGTATTTTAATTTTCAATTGAAATATCTCAAGCAATAATTGAGATATTTGACTTTACAAAAAAAAAACTTTAAAACCAAAATTTCTAAAGTTCCAAAGGGGCAAAATTCTGTCAATATTGTAGGCAGAGTTATCCAACTTGTCAATCTGATGTACCTTGTTACTATAAATAAGTATTGTAAGTTTCAATTGAATATCTCAAGCAATAATTGAGATATTTGACTTTACAAAAAACTTTATCCAAAATTTCTAAGTTAAAAAAAGGGGCATAATTCTGTCAATATTGTAGTCAGAGTTATCCAACTTGTCAATCTGATGTACCTTGTTACTATAAATACATTTTTGTAAGTTTCAATTGAATATCTCAAGCAATAATTGAGATATTTGACTTTACAAAAAAAACTTTAAACCAAAATTTCTAAGTTAAAAAGGGGCATAATTCTGTCAATATTGTAGGCAGAGTTATCAAACTTGGCTATCTGATGTACCTTGTTACTATTAAATAAGTATTGTAAGTTTCAATTGAATATCTCAAGCAAATAATTGAGATATTTGACTTTACAAAAAACTTTAACCAAAAAATTTCTAAGTTAAAAAGGGGCATAATTCTGTCAATATTGTAGGCAGAGTTATCAAACTTGTCTATCTGATGTACCTTGTTACTATTAATAAGTATTGTAAGTTTCAATTGAATATCTCAAGTAATAATTGAGATATTTGACTTTACAAAAAACTTTAACCAACGCAGACGCCGACGCGGACGCTGACGCAGACGCCGACGCCGGGGCGACTACAATAGCTCTCATATTCTTCGAATAGTCGAGCTAAAAATGCATTGTACAAAAAGTCTGAAGTCACAGTGGGCCTTTAAAGATCAATAAAATTGTAGATCAATATGCCATCAGAAGTCTACGTCACAGGGTGTCTCTAACAGACAAAAACAGGTTGTAGATTATGCAGTAAGCTTCTAAAATCTTCATGTCTCATACACGGATGACTAGATCAACAACCAATTTAGAATACGTTGCTCAAAATAGTAATTGTATATCCTGGCATATCAATTTAGAGAACTAATTTCGCAGAAGCTTTACATCAATTCATTAAAATTCTGTCTGGGTTGGAATTCAGATATCGATGGGGAAAATGAGAAACAAGACAAGATTCTATTAGAGTTCTTGCTGCAAAATTTCAATAAGACACTTGAAAATATTTCCTTAATTTCTTTTTTTTTTAATATAGTTTTTTTTCCTGTCTGAATACCTACATAGCAAGTCTTGTAATTATTTTCAGCTGAATAAGCAAAATGTCGTTCTAGAGGATTGTGTACAAAGTTGACAATATTACAGACTTACATGTATTTGGTAATTTCCTTGAATAGACTCAAGGGTCCAAATTAGGACTATATATTGGGTATAAGTTTGATATATACACCTGTATCAGTAAGTTGGTTGTTAGGAGTACAACAAGATTACATTGCCAGATGTCTGCATATTATACTCCTATAGTTTTCTTATTAATATCAAACATTCAAAACAAACTCTATAACATTTTGTAATACTGTTTAAAGGGACTCCACTGAGGTTTTTCAACATGATGGGACTGGAAATATTTTTTCAATATATTTCTTGTATATTCCTTAGTTATATTTTATTTATATTTCTGTTATAAGTGCTCATGTTGATCTATGTGAAAATTTTATAACTTCAGGCGTATTAACCTCAGTGGAGTTCCTTTAAGAAAAAAAAATAACAACAAGAAACATCTTACGCTATTTGTTGAACTATTTGGAGTAAGGCCCACATCTCCAGACCCTACATGAGCTGTGTGTCTAAAATTGGTCGGATCTCCAATCATACTTCGGTCAATACGTCTTCTTCGTTTCTGTCAAAGAAAAAAAATTTTTGATACAATATTGATTTATTTCATATTGTTCAAGAAAATATTTCAAACTGTAAAATGCAAAGCCTGCTAAATACATTCACAATGTTGCAGAAATTGGATTTTCAGGTCAGTCATATGTAAACAGTTCTTCCATTTTATAGCTGATTGTGGTATGTCAATAAATATTATTACCTCCCCTTTATTACTATTACATTATTCTGAATAATCTCCCTTTAGCATTATATATATATTTTACTAATACTCCATTATTATAATAACATATTCTTGTAATATAATACTTTAATTATTACATTTTTAATAGTTAACATTTCATAGAAATAACAAATTTCACAAATTTCTTACAATTAAAATAGTACTGAATTACCTCCCTTTAATACAATAAAAATACTCACTGGTTGGGGCTGTTCTGTGATACAGCAATTAAAACAAACAAGAAGTCCCATGGCCATAGTCATTTGTTTGTTAGATTAATTAATTTATGGAATGTTTTCAATTCTGAGTATTCTAATCTTTGGTCAGTTTTTTTAGCAGAGTTTCTTCCCTTGATGAGTAAAGTGTACCTCAGTTACTTCCCTTGAATATTTTTTTTTTTCTAAAATATAATCCCTAGTTCAAAGTATTCTTTATAAAAAGGTAAACTTGTTTTTCCTGCCTGAATAAATTCTTTTCTTGTTCCTTTTTTATTTATTCAAGTGTCCCGCACTTTTGAATAAACACACTGTTTTTGTTATTTTCTAGTTTCACTTTTATCACAATATTATCAACTTATCACAGTATCTTTCCTTTCACTGGAATGTTTCACTATCTAATCCAATTGAAAAAAAATCCTCTCCCTCCAGAAAAATATATGTATAAGAAATATCAATAACGTTTAAATATATCTGTCCACTTTTTTATCTCTGACAGCTCATCAAATATGACACACACCAGAACACTGTTGTCTCCTTCAAAACTGAAAATGTAATCAAATATTTAAAATAAAATAAATTTCAATGCAATTTCACACAAATACTGTTAATCAAATACAAAACTGGCAAAATTTCAATGTTTATATTTTTACCAATCTCTATAACTGAAGTTTACAATAAGTTATGATAAAAATTAAGCTCTTGACAATCTAATATATCTTTTCACTTTATCTGACTAAGAAAAAAACTTTAATCGAGTGGGATAACGAAATGTTTATTTATATCTCGCAAATGTATACGTAATCACAATTACAGGATTATACTCTCATAAATCAGTGGACAAACGAAAGACGCTTTTTATATGATTTTATCAGTGTAGTGACTAATAGGGAAGATATCGTAGGCAACAATAAATTTCCTGTTCTATTTAAAGCGGTTTCCTGTTAACAATGTCACTTTTACTCTTCTTTTTTTTCCATAAAATTATCTCCCCTTTTGTTTATGAGAATTAAATCAATAAATTTATAATTCACAGACTTACTTTTTGTGAGATTAACTCCCTTTGGGTTTGGCTTATTTTCTCACACAGTACAATATTATATATCTGAAACTTTTACACACATCAGCTTTATGGTCTTCATGAAAAAGGGGCAGTTACTCTGTATGCAATAAAATGGAGGGTAGACAAGCTGTTAATGTGGGTTCCTGAAAATATAGCAAAAAATATTCAATAAAACTATAAACAATACTTCAAAAAGTGAATTTTTCATACTTGTAACTAATATAGATATATTACGACCATATAAATCCCAATTCTGAGCAAAACACTGCTAAAATTCCTGAACAACAGTTTCAAAATACCATGAAAAAAGTTAAACATAACCAGTTATTAATGATTTTATCCCATTCCTGAAACTGGTCCTTATGAATAGGTTTTTTTTTATAAAAAAAACTAGTATAGAATTATGTATAAAATGTACAAAACTGTACTTGTTCAAATTTCTACTATATATCACCATATGAATAAACAAGAAATATGTGTCCATAGGACATGGATGCCACCACATTCCACTGTTCTGTCTGGTCAGTGTGATGTTTAAGCGTAAAAAATTAAAAAAAATCTTTGTAAAAAAATAGTATTTCTTTTTTCCAAGAAGAGAAAAAAGTATACAAATATCTTGTTTAAATCATTATCATTTCATTCACATTATAAATTTATTTGTAACAAATTTTCATGCACTATGTAGGAAGCTTAGTGCACACTTGATTTCAAAATATTTTATTTTTACTGGTTTAACAATGTCTTCAAATGCCTGACAATCAAGTAGGTATGCACTTCAACAAATTTTGATTACAATCTAGACTCCTCACACATTATTTCAAGTACAAACCACCTCAGGCAAAAAGCTAAAAAAAAATTATCAAGATTTTTTTTATAACCCTTACATCTGCTAAATTTATGTAACATTAGAATTTGGAACATTCTACGTTATTTTTAGGTTAACAGTGTTAAGTATGGTCTGCTAGCGCATGTGTGCAGACTGACCCAACTTTAAACTGGTTGTTCTGTCCTTTTACAACTGATGCTTGCAGTATTAATTAAAAGCTCAAAGTTCATTTCTACATGCCAGTACAACAGTGTTTCTAACCTTTTTATCTTAAAAAAATCTTATATGTTAATAGTTAAATTACCTTTATCCTATACAATATACTAAACATGAAAATATGTTCTCCCCAATGGCAATATAAATAATCATTAATAGCATAAAATAATAATTTGCTTTACTTTCTGTTTTCATAAAATCTTACAAAAAAAAAATAATTTTCTGTGCAAAATATGCACCCATCCATTCAATATACTTCAAAATTTGCACTATATAAAACCTGACATATAAAAAAATTTTTTAAAGTGCACAGATTAAAATATATTTTTTATTACCAAAAATTTATCTTTATAAACAAACATCTTTATCTACCTCCAAATAGAAATAAAATTCCCCTGTATAACAGATGATGTTTACTTACAGATCTGATATCTCCACTTAATTATATGTATGACAAAAGGTAAACAGCTCACTTGGCAAATATTCATATGAACTGTCAGTCATATGTAAAATAAATGCATGAAACAAAACTTGGGCTGGTGTACCACATCCAATGTTTTTAGTCCTGACAAAATAAATATTAACAAGCACTTACGTAAATTGTAATTGACTTCTGTACTCAATTTAAATATTTAAATCTTTTACTGGTTTAACTATTTATCAATTGAGCTGTCCATAAGACATTGCCCTAGACTATTTTCAGGGCCTGACAGTAAAAAAGGGACATAACTCTGTAAAAAAGTAACCCAGAGTTATGGGACCCTTCTAATCATGTAAGATAATTACAGAGAACAAGTATTTGAAGTTTTAACCCATTCCCTTCTGAAGTTTTGGACTTACCCATTTGTACACAAAAACTTAACCAAAGTATGACGCCTACACCTGGTTGAAGTACAATAGCTTTGTCAATCCTTGAGCTTAAAATCACATTTATTAATTAATGTGGAAAATGTTAAACAAATGTGTTTCATCAAAATTTTACAGTTCAGTTTTCAAGTCGTATGGTGAAAATACAGACAGTTCTCTTGAAAAAGAATTTAAGCCTAGAGAGATTTTAACCTATAAAATGAGAGTCAATAGAACAGCTATCCGTCCACCTCCAATAAATAGCTGTGATTAATTTAAAAAACTATTTATATGAACCAGAGAATTGTTCAAAGGTGAATTAGTGCCTTGATCACACCATAATCCAGTGCAGTGGCCAGACCAGAAAAAACACCAGCGTAGATCTTGCCTGACCAGGGACATACTCCCCTTGAATTTTTCCCCCCTATTTTTTTCCCTAGGAACTATTCCCTGCATGCTTGAGAAGTATTATGTGGATCTAAGATATACCAAGAGTATCAATATTTGAACATACAATTTTATAATGATGAAAATGGTAAATGCACACAAAACACCAATGTAGTTGTGCCATAATGTAGCTATTCCTTACTTCCCACTCCAGCCAATGCTTTACAACATGCTCGAAAGCAGCATGATGTCTGGTTTTATCTTGTTTGTAAATACAAGATTTCTGTTTGCATGCTACTGTACAAATAAATCATCAAGTCAATAAAATCATTTCATATTTCCAGAGATAAGATTCAGTAAGACACCCTGCGATTGTTAAATGAGTATATAATAAAGAACTTTCTTCATGTTTTTTGTGGCTTTCTGCTAAATATCAAACATTAAAACTTTGCAAGTAGCTATCACATGGGGGGAGGGAGGCCTTCTGGTAATAGCAGTTGTCTTTTCATAACCTTGAAAATGTAGGGTCACCTTTCCAAAAAAAAATTTTTAGATCAAAGTTGTGTCTGATTTTGGCCAAGATAGATGCATATTTTTTTCATAATAAACCCTACCCCTTATCACCCCAAAACTATGTGACAATGTCTGTCCACCACTATGGAGTCAATATGGTAGAATTTCTTAGGGAGAGGGGTGGGAGGCAGTGATGGGTTGGCATCAACAGTGTATGTCCATATGTCCAATTTGCTAACTCTCAATAATATTAATATTTTTGTTTTGTTGTATTCAATTTATATATATGGAGTCAGTACTCTCTTTTTTTCCCATAGACAAGATGAAAAATATATCTAAAATAACTACAAACATCTTTACCCCTTCATATCTGACATGAATATTTGCGGTTTTTGTGGATTTTCACATTTTTATTTGTTTGGGTCGTCAGACCAAACAAATAATGGTAGTGAAATTTCAGACTCTAATGCTGTTAATTGCAAATGCCGAAAGTAGTCCGCTTTTTTGAAGCGGTTACTTCCCTTTATATGTACACTAACGGCCGAAAAATTCAGGGGAGATCACTGCGTAAAGATGGTCCGATGACAGGCGCATTAATTTTGAAGCAAAATAATTCCCGAATGGTCGAAGATTTCTAATATTCTTTCATTCTTTATATATATACATGCTTATAGTAAGCTCCATGATTATTTACAACAGTCAGCGTCGTTACAAACCCTAATTTAGAATAATGTGGTTTTCTTCAAGCCGTTAAACATATAACGAGGGGTTTGCGCGCTCGCTTAGGAAGCGAGAGGTCTGGAGTTCAAAACCCAGTTAAGGCAACTCATTTTTTTTCAAATTGTTACAAGTCAAATAAACATTGGATTGAATATCAGTGTTGCAATTAGTTTATTACAATTAAAACGCTGAAAAGCATTGGTAGCACTATACAAAAACAAATTGGTGTATAATCTCACAACCTGCACCTTTCTTACATTCTGAGACCCAAACAAATTCAGCACCTTCTGTGCTTTGATTTTCTATTCAAGCATCAATTAGGAAATAACCACTTTCTGTTTGAAGAGATTTAATAGCTTTCAGTGTCTCACTACATGATTTTTTTTTACATATTAAAAAAAAATGTATTTCAAGAGCAAGATAGAAAACACTTACTACAAAGCAAAATATCTAGCAAATTAATGCTTCTATTGTACATTGTAAATACAATGTATCAGTCTATAGTTGATGGGTTATTTTGGTTTCCAGGAGTCTTTCATCTTATTAATTTTGATTTTTTTACATCATATGACAACTTAAATGTTGCCAAAGGAAGACCTCGGGACTGCCCCTGCGTGTATTATTTCAGGCAAAAGCTGGCAGCTATGTATAAACACAAACCTTCCGTAAGCTACCTGGATGACTTCGACATAAATGAACAACCACATTTGTGTAAGCCATCTCTACCATTGTCAACTAAATTAAAATCTTATCCAATGAAAATGATTTACCTGAATCACGCAGGTTTTGATATATCTGACAGAAAAAGTTTAATAATATTCGCTATACATAACACGCAAGTATTTCTTTTCAGATTTCATTTCTTGCTGCAAACTCATTGCAGTCATTGGGCGATTAAAAGATTTGCTGAATAAATATACAGACATTATATTTGTCATTTGAAATACAAACACAATATTTTTTTAGATCATAACTACTAACCTTAACCACAATGAGAGCACAATTTATCACAATATATCTGAAAGAAAATCATTCTGTATAAACAAAATTGACAACAAAATTCAATTTACATGCCTCTTTCAAATGTAAATTTCCCGAATTTTGTAATCTATCAAAATCAAGGCTAGATGACTCATCCAAACATAAAAACTCAAAGTCAGCAAAAACGCATGATTCAATATCACAAGAAGCTTGCTTTTCATATGTTTTAAACTTTGTCACGATGAATAATAAAAATTTCTTCCTTATTCTTTTCAAGCTTCCCTTTTAACTTAATTTATATGAAAAAAAAAGAAGATTTAATAAACACAAGGTATTAATGTCACAATCATTCTGTTTCTTTCTGTTTCACTTCAAGGAAGTCAAGTACAAAATAAGTGCAAAAATTAGAACTGCATGTACTACTGTGAATAAATGCAAAATGCTTGTTTCACAACTGAAAAAGATGACAGGACATTTCAAACAAAAGTACAGTTGACCAAAGTCCATTCTAACCCTTTCATTTTTATACCATTCTTCAAACCACTTGCCCCTCACCGCTGTGGGTTAATTTGAATCCCGACAGGGACTTTGGATTCTTTTATGTGAGAGAGCTATCCAGCTAGCTTAAGAACATCGGTGGTTCTACTTAAATGC